GAATAATGGTGGAAGAAGAGACTCAAAAAGCCTAAGGTAGTAATAATATTCAAAGGATAAAGAGCTAATTAGTGCAGGGGACAATGGAAGACATCAAAAGCATTAGAAAGAATGACTGAGGAGCATGCAGCTCTTGCAAAGACTGTTGGTGGAGGTGTGCAATTCTCTCCAGCTGGACATCAGAACCAAACATTCAGAGTCTGAAAGCTATTATTAAAAAAAAAAAAAAAAAAAAAAAAAAAAAGGATGCCAGTATAATGAGTCAAACTTGTCCTTTGTGCACAGAGTAGCGATGGCACAGGTAACAACTACATGTCTGCTGTGAGAAAAGGCATTCCTTGGGGAAAGAAAATCCATGCTGATGTGTTTTCATTGATTCTGTGACCAAAGCCATTTTTTTTTAAAAAAAAAACCTCTTTATGCAGCAGACATTTCTCTGCTCTCTGTGCAGACTACAGAAGTAAGGAATAAAAGAATTAGTTCCAGGAATGGGAAAAGAGAAGTCTGAAATGAAAGCTACAGTTCAGATGAGACTGCACATGATTTGCAAAGCGATGGAAACTGAGGGGGCAGCTAGGTCATGCCTTTCCCCTGCTGCATGAATCACTCTTTGAATGGAAATTTGAGTAGGAAGACATAATGGCTTGGGAACAAAGAGAGCTGCTGGAATATCACAGGTGCAGCTGAACAGAGAAGGATGTTTTGGGATATGCCAAGGAAAGCAAACACCATGAATCTGGAGGAGTTGTCAGGACTTTGTGATTTAGGGAGCTATCCAAATCAACAAGCATTTCTCACAGACAGTATAGCTGAGGTCCTGATTCAGTGCTCCAATTAACCAATGCCTTAATGCTAAAGCATAATTCAGAATTCAGAAAAAGACAGGAGGTGTTAATGTCCTACAAATGTTTCTGGAAGTCAAACTTACACTCTATACTTAGCTGTATAATTATATACTTTGCTGAATTTGAACTAATGTGAGGTGGCGGAATCCAGATCCTGACATACAAGAAGACACATACGTTCTGGGGGAACCAAAATAGTCAGTCAAAGCCAGAGGATTCAAACAGAAGAGAGGGGAAGCTGTCAGAACTGGAAAGAGGAGATAATGTGAAAGAATCAAACCTATATGCCTCAGAAAACCTCCAAGCAATGAGAAATACTGGGAAACTGAACAAAAGGTACTCCCCAAATTACAGAACTGTGAACAGATTAAAACACAAATAAGAAAGAAACAATTACATGCCTATGATTTTCTAGCATTGCTATACCACAAAAGTTAAACTTCATTTTGGTGTACAACAAATATAAACTGAATACAACTAAAAATCCAAGATGATTTTAACTAGTTGATCAGGATGAAGTACAACTGAATGATAATAAAGGCAATCAGGGGAAAAAAAAAATGCTTCCATATATTTTTCCAAAAGAATAAAGATAAAAATACCAATTAAAAAAAAAAAAATATATATATGGTTACAAGCAACCCTCTTGAGTAATCTGACTTGTCTAAAGACTAGGAAAGTGCTATAGATAAAGAGATTTAGGAATAATAATGAGAAAATTCTAGGCAAAGAAAAAATAATGGAGACAAGCTAAACCAGCACTGCCAGGGAACCTTTCTTAATCCTGAGTTGCCTGCCTTTCTTTTCCACACTGCAGTGAACAATGCTCTTGAAAAACTGAGAAGCAAAGAAGTAAGGTAGGAATTATAGTCACTCAAGGGTCACAAATAAGCTTGCGCAGAATTTTTTAAAGTGGTGCTAATTATTATCTATCTTCTGTAAAACAACAGCAATAAAAAAAAACTAAAGGACTCACAATGTAATAGCCACCTTCCCAGACTCAGAGAGCAGAAAATACAGGAACTATTTTCAAGGTAAACAGACAGAAACAAGAAACAAAGCTAGAATATTAAGGGGGGGAAAAAAAAACAAAAACAAAACAAAACAACTTATGGAGGCCTGAAATGACAGCTTTGAAGAAAGCAACAGATGCAGGGAATCTTCTCTGATGTGTTAAAAGAAGTCTATCAGGAAGACCAATTAGATTCAGCCAGGCCCAACTGTTTCAGTTGCCCTCTAATAGGTTTAAAGAGGAAATTACCTGAGCACCTATTCACTACTATCTCCTCTCTCAGGTGCAAGGATGTAGTACTTTTTTGCTGCTCCTGGTATTGCTAGAAACTAAAGCTTACCCTTGCTCTTTTACAGAGTAATTATAACATAATTTTTCTTAATGGAATAAAAAAAAATTTATATTGTTTTCCATGCTGAATTGAAGTAAGTTTTAGATTTTTTTCAAGTTCAGAAAAAAAATCCAGCTGTGGAACTAAAATAAATTGATTTGAAAATTCTTTTGACGTAATAAATTTATATACATTTTACTGTAAATTGATTGCTCAGAGAGGGCAAAATTTCAAAGCATGTGTGTGGAGACTTCATTAGCAAGAGATTGTTCAGGTAAATGTCTGTACTATGTCTGATACTTGACATATAACTGCAATAACTGAATAAATAATAGCAGTTAAAACTGGTTTATGATGTAGCAAAACATTATTCCCTTTCAAAGTCACATTAGTCTCTAGTCATATCTACAGCATTTTATAATCAGTAAGAACAAAATTCTGCTTGTGTACTGGTGTAAATTCAGAATAGTTTTTGACAAATTACTTTACATCTACAAATCATATTTAGCCAGAAAGCTTCTGCTGGAGATCTCGTGGCACCACCTTATTCACCCTCTGGGAGTAGTGCTGCCAGTAAGGTCAGCCCAGTCAGTGCAGGGGCGTAAGGAGGATCTTGGTCTTCAACAGTTAAAAAACTTCTATAAAGAATTTCGTTCTGTAAGATTTTACTGACAAAGTGTATGTTCCTGACTCAAAACCACAAGGGTTGTTTGGTTTTTAAAGTGGAAAAAAAATCTGCCCATTTTGAAGAAAAACCCTGGCCCTCTCTCCATTTGGTTTTTGCTGATCCTTGAAGCTGCCTCAGCATTTAGTAATTTAATACTTTTGCATCATTTACATTTTATGCTAATGATATGAAGACTATCATTTTGCCATAACTTCCTTCTATTAGCGTTGGTCTGAAAGGACACATTTAAACCTCTAAAGTTATAAGATAAAAATCATGACACTGATACAATTGCAAGCCAATGAATTGGAAAATGGTATGCCTGATTAGTAAAATCAGTATTAGTGTCCGGGTTTAGTCAATAGATTAACACTCAAATTAGTACTTAACTTTAAATGAAGTTTGTGACAATAAAGACTTCTGCAGAAGTCAAATAAGTAGTAATTCTTATCACTTATACACAAAAATTGAATAATGCTTTTTACTTTGCATTATGAAAATTGCAGTAACTAAATATACATATCATCATCTCACCAGTAACATTTTTTCCATTTGTTTCAAAACAACTTTTACTTTATTTATTTTGTTCTGAAGCAAGAATATTGCTTTTCTTTAGCTTTGTGAAGCTAAATAAGAAAGCTTTTTTTTTCCTTCTACTTCCACGATGTAGCTTCTCAGAAAACTACTTGGTAATTCATTCCATTAAGAACTTTGGAAAAATACTTAAATCTAATTAATCAAAAACCTGAAAGGCAAAAAATCGTTTCTAAGTACTTTGGTCACTCTTCTTAAACTTTGCTAATATATATGCATGGTAAACTGAAAAACAATCCTAATCCTCACTTCGGCTGAGTTACGTACTTTAAGCCTTGCTCCTACAGTTCGATCCAGTCAGACAGCCTGCTCTATCAGCATTTACCATTATCAATGGATCTTTGTAGATGTGTATTATCCACTTACAATTTGCCCAGGTTGGGAACTTCATAAAAGTATATGCTTATCTTCAGAAAAAAAGAATATTTTGCATTGCCCTAGTGCAGCACTTAACACGACCTTTATTTGTTTATACTTGAGGAGATAGTAGCATAGTGTTGGGATAACATTGTGACTTGGTTTGGAAATAGAATAAAATACCTGAATTATTATATCAGCTGTTTTATTATTATTTAGTATTGTGAAAGCATCCTTGAAAAGTGAACAAAGCTCGAAAGCTGTACCCTCTGCGAGGGACCTCTTTCAAGTATAGGGCCTGGCACGGGACTCTGTGGGGGTGGTTATGCCCTGCCAGCACCTAACTTGCAGCGAGAATAAGATGAGAGCCCAGGGTGCAAGTCTGAGATGCAAAACATGAGACTGGACAGATCAGCTTTCCCCTCCCTCCAGCAGCCCCAGCTCTGGCCCCTGATGATACACGTGTCCTGTGTGTGCCAGTACCACTCGGAGGACGGCACTACTCTAGGGAACACCTCACATTTAAATACCAGCCAGGGCAGAGATTTCTCAGCACCAGGAAGGCCTCAAGCCTGCTCTACAGAAATATGACTAACACAAACAAGATCACTCAGTGCCAACGCTCCCCTTTCGACTTCCCTAATTTACTGCAGCTAATCTTCAGGCAAAATTAAGCACTACATTTTGTCTCTCTTGCAGACATTCTGACTAGTCAGCTTCTCTTCCAGTGTTATAGTAAGTCAAGTACGCTCTAATCACCATCACGAATACTTCTAACACTGCCGTTCCTCCATCTAGCTATACCTAAATATAGTTCAACCTCAACCAGCTAGGCCACACTTAGATTTCTGGTTATCCAAAACAAAGCTTCACTCCTGAGCCATGTTTATTAATGAGAATGCCTTGATTACCCAGATATACTTCTTCATCCCTCATGATGTTTAGAGAATGATGTTGGCTTTATTATCTCTTACAGACTAGTTATTCTACAGTGAGATATATTCCCAATGAACAGTTGGCATTACTGCAAACGTTGTCTTAAATGAAAGGAAAGTACACATAGGGAAACATAAAAATACCACGGTGAGTGAAACCGTGTTATTAATGTTTGGCCTTCCACCCATTTTATCAAGAAAATGCCCTAGAGAACAGAACATACGGAGTTACTGGAAGTCCCTGAGATGCATTACACACCGTTTCAGTGGAAGCCTGGAAGCCCGGCAGCAGGCTCTGGCGCAGGGTGGGGATGCCTCGGTGGAGAAATGGTGACCTCTACAGGTTCCTCCTCCGCGGCCACAGCACCTCGCATGTTCGGTCAACGATACGCAAGGTGTAGTGTGGGCTGCTTTCATCTTTGAGAAATTAAAATAGAGAAAATTAAATGTATATTTGATGATGACATAGCGACGTAAAATAAGCTAAAAAACATGGGCACGTGTTAATTTAAGAAATAAATGTTCACCTTTGAGAAGTCAGAAAACAATACTTCAAAGGACAAAAACTTCAAAGCACTCCCTAACTTCAAAGCACTGCACCAACATTAATAAACACTTAGGACATGTCTGTGAGGTAGAAAAAAAATTTCCTTTTTTAATGCTTGTGTAAACAGGGCACAGAGATTAAGTGATTTGCCCAAGGACACAAGTTAGTAGCAAAACTGAGGTTACATGCCAGAAATAACTGGCTCAAGCCTCCCAACTACAGCTGGGTTAAATAGTTCCCTATCAGAACACTTACTCAGCAGAGGCCAAAGCAGAGCTGCTGCCAGGCAACATCATCACCTGCCCTTCGTAAGGCCTGCTCAAAACCCTGCCCTCTTGTTTTCAGCTGGATATCCTCCCACAAAGTCAGCACCGAGTATACATAGATCTAGCTGAATTAAGATAACCTTACATATATAGAGTTTCACTTCTGCATTTAACAATGATATTGGAGGTTAAGTGGGCTATGTGAAAATTTTCACTATTTCTAAGTCATGACAATCTACTCACTACCGGCTTCTTGACAACACACCTAAATAAAATACAATCAGCACACCTGCAGTGTGAAGTTCCTCTTACGACACTGTTGAAGCAGAAGCTGCACTAGTACAAAGCAGAATATTTTACTACGTCCTTCTTGAGTAAAATATAACATTTCCTCAGTTCATATAAGCTGATCTGCTGTATATCCGTACTACATACCCATACTGCTGAACAGAGGTGCTATCTGATAAAGAAGACAGAAGCAAAACCCATCGTTTTCTTTTCAAAATAACCTAATCAGGAACAGTCCTTGGATAGGTGAAGCTAAAGAAGCCAACAGAAATAAAAGTGGCCTATGAAGTACCTAGCAAAAAAAAAAAAAAAAAACCACCAAAAACAAAAACCACCTTATGCCTCTCAGACAACAAATAAATACAAAAAATAACAAAGAAGGACAAAGATTTGCCTCTTCCTCTCTCTAACTTATTTATTTTCATAGATCTTCAGTAATATTTTGCCATTCTTATTTTTACTGAAGAGCTTCCTGGTGATCCCACACGTTTGTGGTCTCATGCACTTAATTAAAGGTGGAGAAGTGTGCAACTTGAAGTCTTCCCTTCTCTAAAACATGTATATGTCAAATAAATAGAGTTAATAAGTTATAAAGCTACAAACAAAAAGCATGCTTCAAATAGCCAATTCTGAATCTCTTCTCAGAGGCTTAGGTTTTTAATCTTTTTGTGAAGTCACTGTTGGAACAAAGGCTTAATTCTAAAAGTAGCAAAAATATTAATTAAAAGATAAAGGCTTTTAAAATACCATTTCTAAAAATTAATCCATACAATAAGCTTCCAAAAATTTCTTGTCAAGCGTGATTATTTTAAGACAGAATTTCCTTCTAAGTCACATACTTATCATGAAGAACTATTTTTAAAAAATGCTTAATTATATTTTGAAGACTTTGATTTGCATCTAGTAACAAGTAATTTGATGCATATTATTTTGCCAAAATAAAGCCCCACAGTGTCTCTAAAATAGATGCTGCCTGCATATGTTGTTCAAATGTTCCTCCTCAAGGCCAGTTAGAAGTACTGCACCCTTTCATTTATACTGTTTACCAGTAACAATTCTGTATTCAGAACACTAGGAAATTACTGCCATACTAATAGACTCTTAAAGAATATCACAATTTCTGGTTTTAAATTTTTTAGGAGTTCAAAAAATTCTAGTGCTATCTATATCTATGATACTGCTCAGCACTCACATAACATTGGCCATGGCCAGAACTCAAAACTTTCCTGTGAAGGTAATCAAGTATTGCTATCTCTGTTTTGCACGGGAACAATAATAGTGATGACATAAAGATCGTACTCCACCAAACTTTAAATAAGGACTGTTAATCTACTCAAGACACGGATAGATCTTCAGTACTTTGTTAGGTCAAATCTGAAGACTACATAATGTACAGAACATCAGACTGAGTCATTAGCAGATTTGGGAACACAATTCAGACCTCCTGACTCCCTACAATAAACCATAGTTTTCCATGTTATGCATTAACAATCATTAACTAAGCGACAAAGGTTTTGCTATTCTTGGTGTAGTGCCCTTCTTTGCATTTCAGAGGAATTATTGGGCTCTTAAATTGGCTGTCAAATTTGCTGACTTGGTAACTGGCTGGCTTTCAAAATATATATTAAAAGTCTTGCCTTTCCCAGCTATTTCTTTAATTTTTTTTTTATTATTATTTAACAGAATAAGCTTTGCGATCTTACTTATAAAACTAAAGTCAACAGAAAATAATTAAAAATCTTATCAGCCACATCGTACATACTATTAAAGAAAATACATGTATAGGCAGCAAGACCCAATGGAAAGGGTACTGAACTAAGAAACAGATGGCAAAATTTCCCATTTGCTTAAATAAGGTCAAGGTTTCATCTCTTCAGCTCATTTTACTTCTAGCTCTTACAGAACTCTGTAATCTCATTTTCTCTCTCAATTGGTTTTGAAATGTGTAGATAATTATTTTATTTCCTTTTCTCCATAAGGAATCTTAACACTAATAAGTTAAGTTAATTATGGCTAGATTCAAAGGTCCTACACCCATATTGAAGATTATACATATTCACAGATTTGAAGCTCTATTTAATTATACTTTAAATGTTGCATCCTGAATCACACATCTACCTCATGTAAAAGAATTAAGTTCCAGACAGACTCCAGGTTACAGCAGGAATGACAAGCTAAATAGCCTTTAAGTTAAATACACCTCATAGCCTGAAATTGTAACTCATATTAGAAAGGCTGGATCACTTTTTATAACTAGCCACATATACAGTTTATTTTTATCTAGGTCTTTATGTTTTTATTTCATTACATTATAGGGCTTTCACCTACATAGCTGGCAACGTATACTTCATTTAAGATCATACAAGTTATGTAATCATGGCAACAGTAACTATGCTGTGAATTTTCTTTTGTCATGTTTAATAGGCTGGTCATTCAGTCACCTACAAAAAACAGCTTAGCCAGAGGAGCAGAGGAACTCAATAAACATCTTCTATTCAAATATCAGATTCACAAAAGCATTTTTTTACTCCCTAATTATGCATGAAAAATCTGGAAGAAGTCTTCCAAGTGAAATATCTTTACATATCACAGATTTTTGTTTTGTTATTAAACTTCCCTTGTTGCTAAGGAAGAACAAAGAAGATCAAAGGACTTCTAACAACTAGAAAACCAAAGGTGAGGGAGTTCTGATTTCTTTCTTTTCTTTAAAGATTTATCACTGAACTATAACGGTTGTTGGTTCATAGTTTTATGAAAAGAATGTGTGAAATGATGTGAGCCTGTTTTGCTATTTCATATTTAACTTCAAACATCAAACTACAGCTCAATTCACTTTTTGATTAGCAAGATGATCGTGCATTCAGTGAGCCTGTTTACAAATCCATACGCAATTGAAGTCCTACGAACTAAAAAAGAAGAGCTAGTAGAAGGCATAAATGACCCAGACCATCTTCTGAACTGGCTGATAGACAATGGTATTTTTACCCCAGAAAAAAAGATGGTCATGAGTTTCTACAGGACACAAACAGAAAAGAACTCTCGAGTTTTAGACCTACTAATTTCTCAAGGTGAACGAGCCTGCAGGCTCTTTTTTTATCCATGTTTAAAGCAAGTGGAGCCAAAGCTTTATAGCAAGATGAGAAAATATGTCAGTGAAGTAAATGAAAGCATTAGAGATGCTAGAAGACAATTAGTAGGATATTTACTCGAAAAAGACAAGGTTTGGTTTGAAAATAGCAGTGAACAGCACCAGGGAAAAAAAGACACTGCTAGAAGAAAAAAACAAAAATGGACTATTAAGAAGAAAGGAAGAGAAACTCAACTTTCAAGGGCAGCAAAAGCTAGAAAAGGTCATGCTGATATTGGCATCTTTGATGCAGTCGCTAAAGGCTATCTTTCTGAGTTAGAGAAAACACTGAGAGATAATGATATTAATGCACTAAATTCTTCAAGTGAAACACTGCTGCATATTGCAGCTGCTAATGGACATCTAACAATAATGGAATATTTGATCAGCAAAGGTGCAAAGACAGATGTAAAGGACAAGAAAGGAAGAAGACCACTGCACAGGGCTGCTGAGAACGACCGTGGTGATGCAGTGAAAATGCTTCTCCAATGTGGTGCTTACATGTACAGTTTGGATACAGAAGGCAAGACACCCCTTCATCTGGCTGCACAGAATAACCACAGTCACATAGTGAAGATGCTCCTGAAAGAAGAGGCAAGAAGCTACAGGAACCAGCACAACTTTTTGCACATGGCAGCTCTTAAAGACGAGAGCAGTCTGGCAAAAATGCTTTTAAAGGCTGGTGCCTCCACTGATGGAAGGGATGAAAGAGGACAGACTGCTCTCAGTTATGCTCTTTCTCAGGGGTCTGAAAATACTGCAAGAGTACTGCTAGAAGCCGGAGCCAGTGTTGATTCCAACATGGCCGAAAGAGCCTTCAATAGCAAGCACCCCTCCATCTTCAAAACACTACTAGAATATTCTAAAGATTTGTCACCTGACATAATGGAGTCAGCTCTTTTTAGAGCCGTACAGAAAAATCTGCATGGTATTGTAGCAGCTTTAATTGACAGAGGTACAGATATAAATGCCTACAATGAAATGCAGTACACACCTTTACTCCTGGCATGTGACACGGGCAAAGCTGAATCAGCAGAAGTTCTAATTGAAAAGGGAGCAAACTTTGGAATAAAGACTCCTGCTTCAGACACAGCTTTGCATTTGGCAGTTAAAGCTGGGGCTGCCTCCATCGCAAATCTGCTTCTGCACAAAGGGATGGAAGTTAACCTCATGAACCAAGCCCATGAAACCCCGCTTCATGTTGCTGCGCTTCATAATAATGGAGCATTAGTTGGCCTTTTAGTTAATGCCGGGGCCAAAACGAATGCTGTCACTAAAGAGTTTGTTACTCCCCTGCATATTGCAAGTCAAAGGGGTAACACTGATGTTGCCCAACAGCTGTTGCACCACAAAGCCAACGTCAATGTTAAGGATAAGCAGTCAAAATCACCTTTACATTTTGCTGCTGAAAGGGGAGACAAAGCAATGGTAGAGATGCTGCTGAATGCTAATGCTGACCCCAATGCACAAGACAAGGAGAAAAAGACTCCCCTGCACATTGCAGCCGTGAGAGGACATCTCCGCATCGTGAAAGCTCTGTTAGCTGAAGAAGGAAGATTCAGAGCTAAGGACATGGATGGATGTACTCCGATGCACTACGCAGCCATTAAAGGAAACACAGAGATTGTAAAACTTCTTCTGACATTGGGCAAAAATAAAAACATTGATGATAGAAACATTTGGAGAAAGACCGCGCTGCATATCGCAGCGGAATATGGACACAGTGACTTGATAAATCTATTACTGAGCCACGGGGCAGCCATTAACGCCTTAGACAGCAGCAAGGATACCCCACTGCATTATGCGTGCAGGGCTGGCCATTTTAATGCTGCAAATTCCCTTGTAAATTGGTCACAGGGAGAAAAAGCAAATTTACTAGCTGCAAATAGTCTCAAAAAGACCCCATTGCAAGTAGCAGAATTTAATAAAACAGAAAATCAGGCTCAAATTGTAACACTTTTGAAAAAGAAAATGTTAATAACAAAATGAAGATGTAAAGCAAAGACTTACAAACTTAAATGCTGAATTCTCTTTTAATGTAATTTGGATAATGCTTTTGCTCAGTATGACTGAGAATTATGTGACGGCAGGCAGAATTAAGTTAGCAGTCAAAGATGGCCATGGAAAAAGATCTTAAAGACACTGTTAAACTTCTAAGTATTGATTAGTATTTTGCTTCTTTCATGAATCTCATACTCGGAACGTATTTAAAAAAGCACCAGTTTCAAACACTCTGTGTATGACCTCCTCTAGTATAAGTCGAGACTTAAAGAAAAACAAAAACAAACTTTTCAAATATCTGTAAATATTAGCCTGTATGGATAGCTTAGTTAGGCACTGCTTGGTAAAATCACATTTTTAAAAAGCCATCTGCTTTGAATAAAAAGACATCTGTATCCTCAAGGATATAGAGCACAGCGATGTTGTAGATAACACTAGTTTTGTTTAGCTTAGGCAGACCTAACTGCAGCGCCCTGCCAAGAGATTGATGTGCTCTCCCTTCCTGTCCAGCCATGCGTGCCTGGTCTGGGTTGTGTGTCTGAGCTGATCCAACTTACTCCACAGCTAAAACTGAACAAAGGGGAGAAGCAGGGTAGCAAAGAGCTGAACAGCACTGGCTCTCCTGAGGATAACATAGCTTTAGCTTGGTTTATGCGGATTACAGTACTGCTCTCTGAGCTAACTGGAGATCAGAAGGCGTCTCCCTGTGAATTTACTAGCGTAGGGTTGCCCTCCTCTAGATTTACTAGACCCACCCCCATGCTAGTAAATCCTATCAAGAAGTTTGGTATAAACCAACCAGAGAAGTAGTGTGTGCCCAGAACTTTGCTAATATAAAGATGTTGTTTTCAGGACACTATTATGTGCTACACTGCCATTCAATATCGGACTGGACCCTCTTTAGACATTTCTACATTACACTCTATGACATGGCATTGACAGATCACAAGACTAGAATAATTATTTTTCTTTCTCTCTTTCATCACACCCTTTGTCCAGATTTTGCCTTTTTAAGTAGAAATAATGAAAACAATCATATTTGCCGTTTATTAATTTCACTTTCATATTCCAGCACAAAGATGAAATGTTCAGAATAAAAAGGTTGAAACAGAGTTTATTGGTTCAAAATATTTATATTGTCATCACTTAAACCAGAAACACTTTCTTGAATCGACGGAAGGGCCTCTGTGGTCACTTTCTATGTAACGATAATCAACCCTCACAGTTCTTCACGTTTCCCTGATGAGAGCCCAATTACCATGAAGGGCCACGTACTTCTTGTGAAATGAAACATGGATTTAAGAACGTATGGGAAGAAGACTCTGATTTTTATAGCCATATTACAACGCCTTAGCGCGGCCCGCCCCACACCCTGCTGCTGTCATCTTGGAGACGAACGAACAGACATGACCGCACGTTTGGAAGCACACGCACGGAGGCCAGCAAAACCGACACCTGCACCACCACGCACCGAAGCGCTGTCCCCTCTTCGGCCAGCGCATCGCCCTCCGACGTGCCCGGGTTCCCCCGGGGGGGGCAGCCCCCAAACCGCCGCGACCCCAGTCGCCAGCCACGGAAAAGCGAATGGCCAGGTGGGTTCCCGCCCCGCCCTGAGGCGCGGCGTCCACCCCGCCCCCCTCAGCGCTCCCGCCCCACAGAGAGCGGGGCAGCCCGAAGGAGCAGCAGGTACCGGGACGGGCTCCCACTGAGGCCCCGCTTTTCCCCCTCAGGTTGGCGGCTTCCACCCTCCACCCCCTGCGCTCGCTCACCCTCCCTCCCAGCCAGCCAGCCCGCCCTTCTCAACGCGCTCAGTCCCTCGGCTCTCTCCCCTCAGCTGCCCGCTGCGCGCCCCGCCTACCCCAGCGCCATCTCTCCGCCTCCGCCCCCGGCTTCTCCTCAGGGCGCAGCCGTCGCTGAGGGTGGCTGCGCACGCGCCGCGCCCCGCGCACGCCCCGCAGGCGCCGGCGCGCGCTGCTCCCGCCTTTTCTCGCGAGATCCGCCAGGGGGGGCCGGTGTCATGGCGGCGGCGGCGGCAGAGGAGCTGGAGGTGGATATCGAAGGGGACCCGGTGGCTGCGCCCGGAGAGGCGGCGCCGGGGTGAGTGAGGGATGGTGGCTCTGTCGCTCCGGGGAGCATGGCCCTTCCCCCGCCGGTGGGTTTGCGTGAGGTGGGGAGAACGGTGCCGCCCCCGCGCTGCCGCTTGCTGAGGGGGCTGCCGCGGCAGGGCCGCGCTCGCCCCGGGGATCTGCCTGCCGCCGAGGCTTCCCGGCGCCGGGCACCTCAGGAGAGACACCCCGGAGCCTCACTGAGGGCCCGGGGCGGGCGGGAGGCGCCAGGGTAGAGCATCTGAGAGCCGGGCATGTGAAATCCTTAAAGTAAGGTGAACGCAGAACTGCCGTCATGGGGTCTAACAGCACGGGAACTACGGACACTCGGTGGTGAGGCTGCTGGGAGACTCTTTTAAAACACGTAGGCAAAAGGTGCCCTGTTGCATAACATGGCGAGTCTGACAGGTTCAGAAAACTGAGCATAGGGTCAGAAAACTGATTCAACAAATTCACAGGTGAGGGCTCTGTAAACAGATGTTGAAGTGGTGGATAAGGAATTGGCTGGGTGGTCACACTCAGGGAGTTGTGATCAGTGGCTTAATGTCCAAGCAGAGAGTGGTGACAAGGGACATTCCTCTGAGGTTGTTGGTGGCCCCGGCACTGTTTAACATCTTTGTCAGGGACATGGGCAGTGGGATCGAGGGCAACCTCAGCGAGTTCACTGCTGACACCGAGCTGTGTGTTGCGGTGACACGCCGGAGGGAAGGGATGTCATCCAGAGGGACCTGGACAGGCTGGAGAGGTGGGCCCGTGCAAACCTTATGAAGTTCAACAAGGCTAAGGGCAAGGTCCTGCAAGTGGGCTGGGACAATCCCAAGTGGGGCCAGAGGAGGCCATGAAGATGCTCGGGGGGCTGGAGCAGCTCCCCTGGGAGGTTAGGCTGAGAGAGTTGGGGGGGTTCAGCCTGGAGAAAAGAAGGCACCAGGGAGACCTTAGAGTGGCTGTATGAGCCGACAGAGGAGCAACCACAGATGAAATGCAGAGAGCAAATTTGTTCTCATTAGGTCATGAACCAGGGATCTCTGCAGCAGCACGCAAGCAGGGACACAGCCACTGCGGAGCTCGGTCCCTGCTAACTAGAAAGAGGAGAAGAAAAGATCTGGAATCTGCTGATTTTGCCTGTAGATACTGGGGAATTTCACCGGTGTACTTTTCCACTGTGCTCTGATCTTTCCCTCAGCAGGGCAGAAATCTCGAGGGTGTTCAATAAGGTGCTTCTGAGTGGCTCCCAAGCCTGTGTTATCTAAACGCATGAATTCTACCCATCAAGCACACAAAACTAAACCATTAGTGTGATATATGTGATTTTAAGCACCCCAGCTGCAAGTCACTTGAGCACGTTTACAATCCTGCTCGCTTATCTTCAGTTGTATTCCCACAGCGGCCTTCCAGTACTTAAAGGGGGGCTACAGGAAACATGTAGAGGGACTCTTGATCAGAGGGATAAAGAGTCCCTCCAGGACCTTCCAGGGATAGGATAAGGGATAACAGCTTTAAATTGAAAGAGGGTAGGTTTAGATTAGATAGGAGGAAGAAATTCTTCACTGAGGGTGGTGAGGCGCTGGCCCAGGGTGCCCAGAGCAGCTGTGGCTGCCCCCTCCCTGGAAGGGTTCAAGGCCAGGTTGGACGGGGCTGGGAGCCCCCTGGGCTGGGGGAAGGGGGCCCTGCCCGGGGCAGGGGGGTGGGACTGGATGATCTTTAAGGTCCCTTCCAACCTAAACCATTCTGTGATACTATGAAGTGAATGGGCAGCAATTATAACATTACAAATGTAGCAGTTGCAGAAGCTGGGAGAGTATGAGGGGGTTGTACCAGAGCTGGTGGCTGGACTGACAAGCTGTCCTAGAGTAGCACTGACAGAATAGTGGGCAAAGGGGACTACTTGTCTGACCCATTTCTTGATCTGCTCTGAAAGAAGCAGGAGTTGTATTGGTTTCTGGCTGCACACAGGGATTTATCCTTACCTATAAAGAGGAAATTGAACTGATGGCACAGAGCAGTTCAGAATAGTAGGGGAATCTAATTCAGTAGCTTTGCTGGGGATATAGGTCTAATTTGTCTCTTGAAAAATCTGAATGTTGTTCTAGAATCAAAGTTTTTTGAAAACAAGTAATTACATGAATTGCTATGGAGATTTTATGCTACATTGAAATAAAAGAAAGTTGATCAATGATGTTAGTAAGTGACAGATTTCTAAAGGTAATAAGTAATTATTTAGAGAAAAGTTCAAGCATAATCTGGTTGAAGTCCGTGAGAGCACTGACAACCTGGTATGATAGGATTCTATTAAACCTTGTGTAAGTATGAGCTTTCCTTGGGAGGAAAACAGACCTTTCTTTACAAGAGGATGTTTTTACCTTATTGAAGGAAAGATTTAGAAATGTTAAGTGGAGATAATACAATTCAATGACACTTTTAATATTAAAAATACAGTTCTTTATTTGTCCATAAAATTCAGACTTCTCTCGTTTGTGTATATTTTACATGGTCCCTCCTGCTTTCAGTCATTCTGGATGAGAATTTTTACTGTTCGCGATTTCACTGGTATCTCATACAGTCTGCAGTGAGATAGGTGAGGAGTTGTCACTGAGTTTACTAAAAAACATGACGTACTGAGGGAGATTTAGGCTATGTGTAATGGTATATGAAGAGAGAGTAACATTATATAATAGTCTGCAATATATGACTTTAGTTTTAGTATCTAATTCTGTCATCTTCTGTTAATGTTTTTGTTATTTACCACACCATTATTTTAACTCTGACAGCATTAATTTTGTTTGTATACATTTGCATTGTTTTGAACACTGAAATCTTTTTTTCAGAGATCGTGAAAACACAGCTTCAAGCTTGCTGCAGGATCACTACCTTGATTCATCTTGGAGAACTGATCACTGTCTTGTAAGTATTTTTTAAATGAAAGGTACTTCTAGCAAGGTTATCAGAACTTCTGATTTCTCCATTTTCTTCCCTCTGTATACATGCTCTTTTAGGTTTTCGACCAGTGCTTTTTGCTTACTTTTAGAAACTATTATACGTTGATTCTTGATACTTAGGTAACACCATGACAGAATTAAAATATTAAAACATACTTGTATTGTTTGCAGCCATGGACATTGGACAGCAGCATTAGTGAAGAAAACAGAGCTGTCATTGAGAAAATGCTTCTGGAAGAAGAGTATCCTTTTGCTGATTTGCTTGTATGTTTTCCTGTAGAACAATGGAAAACTTCCTGTTACTAAAGGAACTGGATAAATCTTTTCCCCTTAAGGTGACTGAAGCACTGTTGTCTTGTAGGTAGATAGCAGAAATCAGGGAGGACCCCTGAATTAAGTATCTAGCTACCTGCAGCTTCCTCTGATACTTCTGATTCTTCAGAAAATTTGTCAGTTTGTCCAAAGCTTGTCAGATTTAAGCTGGCACTGGCACTAAAAATAACAATATTTGTCCCCACTTCAGCTACTTGTTCGGTGCCACGTCCAGCACTGTGCTGATGCAGTTGTTTGTGTGGCTTAGTAGTGAACCTGAGCAAACAGCTGATCTGGCTAAAAATAGCAAGTTTTTTTTTGTTGAATTGTTCTTTACTTTCACTGGGTTACTGTCTAGTTTTGTCTGGCTGCATTCATGCTTCTGCCAGCATGCAGGGAAGGAACAGCTGCTGCTTCTTTTTCTTTTTTTTTTTTTTTTTTTTTTTTTTTTAAGCGGTGTTGGCTTAAATAGTCTTGCCACTAGTAACGTCTCTGACATAAGTTGACCTCACAGACTAGGTAGGTTATAGCAATAGTAAACACAGGCTAATGTATTTTAATGTTCTTCTTGTACTTGAGTGTAGTAATATACAGTAGTAGAGGAACAAAAAAATAAAGCAATTAAAATTTTCCTAGTAGAATGAATTATTGAGGCTTAATTTGAAAATAGGTAAGGTATCAGTACAACGAAAATTACTTCAGTATGTTTTCTAACTCAGAAAAGAAGAATGCTGTTGTAGAAACAGCATACTTAGATTGCTGCAAGTGAAGTGAGCGTGGGGGGTTCAGAAGTCAAATGTCACTTCCTTATGCTTTAAACTAGTAGGAGTGTGTGAAATTTTCAGTTTTGAAAGCAGTGCAGTATTTGCTTGAACAGCTGAATAATTTTGAACCAGGATAATTTATGTGATTATTAGAATTATCGTGTGTACAAATATCTCTGATGGTTTGAAAACTTACTTATTAACTATTTCAGATATTATTTATCTAATAAATCACTTTCTGAAAAAATATGGCTCAATCAAAAGGAAGTGGAAAAAAGATCTATGAAAAGGTAAGCTGTGTTCTGGGAAAAAATCTCAGGTGAGAAGAAATTAAAAGTGCTTCCAAAATGAAGTTATTTGCTGGGATATGCAGCAGCATCACAATTATTAATTTTTATTTTCACTTTGTGTTTTGTTTGCAGCCCAAATAAGAAAACTGGAAAAGTCATGTACGTACGTTTTAATGATTAAGTGGATTTAAGTGTGGTGTCTGATTTTTGTTAAGTTACTGGACACTATTTTAGAAAGTTACAGTTCCTTAGTTCCTTCTGTTTGGCTGTACAAAATTATTTAAGAGACCTTTCAACACAAAGACATTTTGTTGTGTGATTGGCCTGTAGTAAACTAGTGTGTTTGGTTTTTTTTTGTAGCACAGTGGTCCTTATGAAAAAAAACCTTGTAAATTCTAGTTGATTTTCTTGCCTGAACTTTTCTGTTCGCTGCTTCTGTGTATTTCTGTACTGTTACTGATGAATGTTGTCTTGCCTTGAATCTTCCTTTGTGATGGAGAAGCTGACATGATTCTTGTTGTTTTATTTATCAGCCACATTAAAGTTTAAAACAATAGATGCAGTTTTACAGAAGAGGTGGAGTAGTCCTCCTGTCAGACGTTGCCTTCAGTTACTGGTATTTGAGAATATATATTTTTAAGAAAGCATTAACTTCTGTTTCCTGTTTTCTTAGGGTGCGATCACCTACAAAATCAGCTAGCTACCCATTAAAGTGGACATCAGAAGAAAAAGAACTGTTTGAACAAGGGCTGGTAAGTTTTGTTTCTATATGTAATATTTTTAATAGAATTCACTAGTTTATCTTAAATTTAAAAATAATAAATATAACATGCTTGTTTAATTATCTGCCTCTGCTTTTGTACTTCTAATGTGTTAAAAATAACTGCCACCTAGTAAGAGTATAATGATAAATCAGATTGATGAATCCATCCAAATGGCTTTGTTTGCCAGATTTTGTTCCTGCGAGGCTGATTACAATCTGAGATCACAAAATACCTCACATATACAGCTTTATGAATTGTACAATCATAATGCTGTGGTTAACTACAGGGACCTTAGTGCGTGCTTAAGGCAAATCAGCTAATAAAGTGAAATCCTTTAACTACTATTGTAAAGTCTTTAGAGATTATAGGATTGTACAGTGCTGAATGTAATAGGGTTTGCTTTGCCAAGTACAAATTCATATCAGTAGGATTCCTTGGGTTACTAGGGAGCATAATTCACAGTGGGCCTGAATTGGGTGAAGAAGAATCCTGTAGTTAACAGTAGCAATAACTTACTGTTGGATGCAATTTTATTCTTGGTAGAATATGAGTAGTGGGGTTCTTTACCACAGGTTTTCTGTACCGTTTGTAATGAATAATTGAGTTTTTAAACTCTTTTGGCACAGAAAGTGCAACGTCTGGACTGTTAGAGTTTGGGTAACTTAAACATGCTTTGTTGTACTAGGTGAAATTCGGCCGCCGGTGGACGAAAATTGCCAAGTTGATTGGAAGTCGTACTGTTCTACAAGTAAAGAGCTATGCTCGGCAGTATTTTAAGAACAAGGTAAACAGAGTATCTCTGTAGTTAGCAAGAAGGCTCTTTGACAAGTGTGCTGTTGTATGTGTAGCTTGATTTTAACCTTTCCTTTCAGGGCGCTGCTCTTAAAGTACATACTGACTTTGTTCCCATATTCAGCAAAGTGGAATATACTTATTTGCAGTTTTAAATATGAACTCAGACATGATTTCAAATTCCCAGAATGACTTTGGTATTTTTATTGCTGGTATAACTAAACAATAAATGTAGTGTAATTGTAGTCTCTTATACTGTTGGTTGTTAGTCTGAAAATACTTGTTTCCTGCTATACCGCTATTTCAGCTCTGTGTTTTAGCTTTAGCCTGATTTGATACTTCAGGGACATTTCAGGAAAAATTACTACTGTTTGGTTTTTTGTTTGTCTTTGAATGAAAATACTTCTAGCCCGAGTGTAAATTAATATGTATACCTGTAATGCTGTGTAAAAGCCAGTTGCAATGGATTAAAATGTACTAAAAGGGTAAGATGAGGAAGAAACACTTCAAAATGTCTACTGTTCAAGTAAAACAGTTCTGACTGTTTGGGAAGCAGAGGGAATTGTTTTGGTTTTCCCTCCTAAAAGTGTTTTATATTTTCCTAAGGCAAAAAATGGTGAATCTGAAAAAGAAGAGCAAAGTCAGTGTGGTAGCAGTCTGCCCCTTGAAGATGGGATAAGGGCGGAAGCGTGGTCGTCTGGAAACTTGAGAGGACGTGCGGACCCCAATCTGAATGCAGTGAAAATTGAAAAGCTGTCAGATGATGAAGAAGTAGACATAACTGATGACATGGATGAACTACTTTCTCCTACCCTCCAGCAAGAAACTGGAAAATCTGAATTACCAGTTATTTCAAAAAGGCCAGTTGAAGAAACTAAAGCAATGGAACATGTGTTTTCATCTGTCAGACACGGTTCTGCAATTTCTTTGCCTAAAGAAGGTCCTGAATTTACCAATCCAGTGGATGCATTAGTATTTCCAGGTGTGGCAGCAACGTGTTCTCAGCACGTGAATGGTGATAAATTTGTGAACTTAGATTACCAGCAATACAGTAATTTTATTGAGAAAGCTGAACAAGGCAGAGGAGTCGCCTCTCGTGGTACTAGACAAGTAACTGATCGGGAGCTTACTGAGGAACAGAGAGACCTGGCTGATAATGGATTGCTTTTTCCTTCTCCCTGCCAAGTGGATGAAGATCATCAAGAAGAAGCGGAGGAGCTTAAGCCACCTGACCAAGAAGTGGAGGTTAACAGAAGCATCATTCTGGAAGAAGAAAAGCAAGCTATTCCTGAATTTTTTGAAGGGCGCCAGGCCAAAACACCAGAGCGTTATTTGAAAATTAGGAATTATATTTTGGACCAATGGTAAGATGCATTCATTTCCTTTACTGAAATAAGTGATTAAGATGATTCATGTCCTGCTTTGTTGTAGTTAAAACACTACTTAGTCACTAATAGGTTACTTCTGAAAAGGAGTAAAATTTTTTCATGGTAGCATTATAAAGATTGCCAGTGAACAGCACTGATTATTATTATCTTCCCCGTTGGGTTTTTTTGTGGCTGTTTTTGGTTTTTGGTTGGTTGGTTGGTTGTTTTTTTTCCTGTTATTCTGGAAGCTAAGCATTGAAAATACTTTGAAGCATTATGAAAATGAGCGTCCTGTATCAGAACAAGCTCCATCTGTTTTGGTTACATTATTTTCCCCCCAATTTTTGTTATCCTATATGTAAGAATGCATATATGGTTTTACTAAATGATTCCTCAAAAGAACTGATTAAATTAATTCTATAATGAGGCCTGTTGCACTGTAGTACTGCCTTTACAGAAGGGCAGCTAGAAGAAATGGTCTGTGCTAGAGTAAGTAATGCTGACTAAAAAAATACTTCGAATTAAGAGTCAATTTGGTGTCGTGCTTGTACACTTTAATATTTTATATTCCATTTCCAAAGAATCAGGTTAAGGAGCCTTAGTGCTCGGTGGTAGCAGGCTCAGTACACAGTTTTGTGTGCTTGTTGTGTTGCTTAGCTTGCTTTTGAGTACAAAGAATTGCTGAGTTAACTCTGTTCTCATGCAGTTGTCGTGGGTATTGACAGCTTATTCTAGTTGCAGAGAAGCTCTAAAATTCCACGCCAGAGAAGTGTTGAACTTGAAATGATTCTGTATCAGTTTAAAAGCAAGTAATAAGTGTAGAGAGTGAAAACAGGCTTATTTATTACCCCAAGGAAGCCCATCATTACGTGAGCTATTTGGACTAATCTAATGCAGACATTCTTGTAGCAATTTATTAGTATCATAATAGTTCTGAGTAGTTCATTGCTTCCTGGCAGCAGTTGTGTTGGAGAGTTTGTTTTAATGCATGGAACATAAGTTTCGCTCTGCATAGTGTGTATGAATAACCCTAAAATAAATTGTATGTGTGTTGTGAAATTTATATTTTTGCTATGATTGTCCTACTTAGTGGTGTGGAGGGAGAAAAAAACACTTCGAGCTTTAACTTCAGTTTAAGTCACAGATTTCCTTCTTCCTCTCTTGATTTGTTTACTATTTGACAATGTGCTATGCTTTATTTTAGGGAGAGGTGTAAACCCAAATACCTGAATAAGACTTCAGTGCGTCCAGGCCTTAAGAACTGCGGTGATGTTAACTGCATTGGGCGGATCCACACATATTTGGAATTAATAGGAGCAATTAACTTTGGCTGTGGTAAGGTATTTTTAGTGGAATCAGTTCAGAACTTAAATTCTAATCAGCCGAACACATCTGTTGTTGACTGTCAGCTTTTTTTAATTAAAATGAATGTTTTCATGTGGAAGCTAAATATTAAGGTTAGTAAGTGTGTCTTTAAAAGTGGTAAGTTCACTTCATCGAAGCATGGATGACTGCACTTAATCAGAATCAAGCATCCATGTGGATAATCTTCCAACTTCTCTGTGCTCTTAATGTCTTAAATAGTAATCGTTACATTTAAGTTTTGTAGAAGAGAACCTTTGTTTGGACTGTGCTTAGCATAGTCATGTTCCAACCTGTCTGGCTGTTGCAGGACTAGTTAAGGTCAGGGTATACTGCTCGCACAGAAGGATGCACATTAATCCTTACTGGGAAGGACCTTCTGAGCAGATTGTCCCTCACGACCTTGGAAAATCTAGAGGGGTTTGTAACCTGCTTATAAGATCGTGGATTTTTGGTTTTAGTCGAGGCCTTTTATTTTCTTTCTTTCTTTCTTTTTTTTTTTTTTTTCTATTTTCCCTTCCTCATCTTTACTGCACACCAGCTAGTGGGATTATTTTTTTGCATTGTGCTTTTCTGTATGTCCAGTGTTGAGAGTTGTTTCCTGATACCTGCCGTATCTGAAATTTTGCCTTCCTTCTGCGTAAGACAGAATTCAAGTTACTGTTTCTTTTCCTATACTGAATTATAACTATTTTCTAAATAAAAAACCAATGTCTTCATCCTCAGGACTAGTTTTTACAAGATTCAAATGTTAAAATTAGGTGACATGTTAAAAGTATATATACACTTAGAAGTTACTGTTGGTTTAGTCTCTCCGGATTGATTTTGGTCCAAGGCTGAGGGACAGTCACCTAGGAGAGGAGAAATGTCCTGAAAATACATTTTGTCGGAAGTAAAGGTTATTAAAAATAAACATTAAGGAAGGAGGTTTTCCAGTCTTAAAAATGCTGTGGTAGTGGGAGAGGACTGTATGATCAGAGATGTTTTTTCACTGTGGGTTTTTTTGTTGTCGCTTTTTTCTTTATGGCATTTGTTGTTCCCACTTATCTGTGTCATTCTTGGCTCTGTACCAGTAATAAGCGGCTTTCCGCTTCCCTGAAGTTCAGTGTGTCTCTTCTGTGTCCTGTAGAACAGGCTGTTTACAACCGGCCCCAGCCGGCTGATAAAACACGGTCCAAAGAAGGCAAAGACACGGCGGAAGCGTACCAGCTTGCTCAGCGCTTGCAGTCCATGGTACGTTGTGGTGAGGGAGGTGGGGGCAGCAAAAAACATTCAGCACGGAGAAGGTCTCTTCAATTTTCAATTTCAAGCCAGGGCACCACAGGAAACTTCTCCTCTCCTTCAGTTGGCAGGTTCTGCTCTCTGACAGGTGTGTCTGCCCCTAACTTGTGCTGACCTACACAATTGATTTCTGTTCAGGTACTTAACAACGACTGTGTTTCAGTCTTTTCCCTGCAGCCCCAACCTCTTCCACCCCACCTCTCCATAATTTATTAGCCTGAATTAGCCAGGAAATAGTGTCATGTATTGATAGTGTGCGATTAAGTTGCTTGCGTTTAACTGTTAAGCGTAGTAGGTATATGCTGTGGCTTACTGAGAGCCTTATGCACACAATTAAGTACAGTAGTAACTCATTTATAACTATGTGAATTAACAGGGCTTGCCAGATTTAATTTTCATATTCACATTTAATGTAGCATTTTTAAGTACTTCAAAGTAAACCAGTTGATGAGAGGAAAACTAAACGAAACCCACTAAAAAAAAATAAATAGAAATGTAAAGAACTGTAGCATACACTAGATGTAAACATACTGGGTTTATAGCTTTTTGTATTGTCTGAGCTGTAATTCAGAGCTGGATAATAACGCATTGTTGCTGTCAGCGATGTTGATGATCCATGGAACATCAACCAGGTGATATGCTTTACAGCCTTAAAAACTGAAAACTTCACTGATGATATTTCCTGACAGACTGTGAACTACTTAATTCTACAGAACTCCAGGGTGTTCATGCTTTTCTGGAAATATGTCTTAGCGTCAGTAATATTCATGTGGCAGTAACCTTCTGGACAATGTTCTTATGGCCGATTAAATGAAGCAAAATGCAGTTTTTTTTCAGGAGTAAGATCCTTGACTCACGTTGATTTGCTTGCTGCAGCGTACAAGAAGACGGCGAGTGCGAGACCCTTGGGGAAACTGGTGTGATGCAAAGGATTTAGAAGGACAGACATTTGAGGTAACCCTTCTGTGTTTTAAACTTTCCTTAAATAATTAATTCTTGCTAATTGCTAGCAGGTGGTGTTGCCTCAAATATACAAGGGGAACAGTTGTGTAATAGGTACTTAACCTCTCTTTGTGGAAGCAATAATTTGAAAATAATGTAGCAGCTGTTACATCTTTATGCTGCTGATAAATTCAACGGTTCTTTGGTGTTTATGAAGGTGTGGGCACGTATCGCCCTACACTGGTTTATGCCTATAAAGTTCTTTGCCTTGTCTTGCAGGGGATCTCATGACCCTTTGTTTTCAGTTAACTGCCTTACTAAAGCTAACAGTAGAGGTTAGGAGAACAAGATTTAAATGTATGGGTTTTTTTTTTTTTTTCAGTTCTGTATGATTTCTTTGTGCTTATCGTGCAGGTGATAAGAGTTCTTAATATTAATCCTGCTCTTAGGCATACCTCCAGAAATACTGTGGTTTATGAAGTGCTTAGCAAAAGTCATACCAGTTAAAATATTTTATAGAAGACTTGGAAAGAAAACACCCACTTGTCCATTCCTACAATTTCAAAATATGAGGAAGTGAACAACTGTAAACATCCTATTTTTCCTATATAGAAAACCACTTAAATTTGCAACCTTGAGTAATAGCATCATGAAGTAATTGTTACAGATACTCATAATGCTGCACATATTTTTGAGTAACTGTGGTTATTAATTCCAATACTTTCTGCAAAATACATATTTGGATGGAAATGAAGTTTGGAAACGCTTATCCCTAAAGAGTTATGATAAATTCTGGCCAAGGACTGTAACGGCACATTTTCTCTGTCGTTCTCACACTTGCATTTATGCATGGTTTGCGATACGAGCTGTGATTTTACTGGATTTGATTGTCTTGGAGAATGTAAGAATCCTCTCATCTGACGTCTTGGGGACTAGATCTGGTTGTCATTACTTTCACACTGCTTGATTCTGCTACGGCTGTTGCCCTCTATCTTCAGTAGTCCTGTACCACACACAAATGGGGAGCATAGCAAGAGGACAGATGTCAGCGATTTATTCTGGGCTGGTTTTGGAGTCACTACTGAAAGAGCACTTAAAACATTAAGACATCTAATTTTTTAAAATTTTTTTAGCATCTCTCTGCTGAAGAGTTAGCAAGAAGAAGGGAGGAAGAAAAACTGAAACCTGCAAAATCTTCTAGAGGTTCAAGACAAATAAAAAGGTATTTTTTTGATGTACATCATGTTCAAACAGATTTTTTCTAGAAATTAAACAAATGTCTTGGGTAGCATCAGGCTGGAAGGCTGCAAATCATTAATATGTATTACGGTCTGAAATAACATGCATGCATTTCAAATGTTTTGTATTGCAGTTCATGAGTGTAGGTAGTGAAGTTTATGTATTTGGTGGAAGTCATTCCAGTGTGGGATGAGGAAATCCAGTAAAGAAAAGAAGGTTATTTTTCCTCTGCCAAGGAGACAGAGGGAAACTAGAAAAGTTTCCTGACTGTCCTACATCTTTAGAGCAATTTTCTTTCATTTTATAGTTCCTTTGATCCCTTTCAGCTGATACCATGCTGTTTATTCACTGAAGAAAAAAAGGTATGTACCTATGAGTGAATAATCAAGAATGCTTGATTACTTACAGTATTCTCCTTATACTCATTACTGTGTTTATCATTGCAGGAACCTTTTCAGGTGAAAGTGTCTTCTGAAGCACTTTTAATAATGGACTTGGTGAGGATTAAGTTTTATCTTTCAAAAAGCTATGATGTATATGTTGTGTGGTTTGGGATTTTTGTTGGTTTGGTTTTTTTTTTAAATGGGCAGCATAAGAAGATCGAGAAATACAGTACTTAAGTTGTCTTCTTTCCATTTAGACCTAGAAGTGAGACTCTACTATTAAATAAAACCCCTAAAGATGATTTTTTTTTTTTTTTTATGTTCTGCTTAGATTTTCTAGAAGGCACATGGTTGTACACTAATAAGAGCATTACTACTCTCCCTCATACGTTAAATATAATTTCCATAAGGCTACTTTCTAAAATAGAGTGCCGTTTTGAAATCTTAAGGATTCATTTTCCACTAGCCTGGGAATTGATTTTTGTGTTTATAGATCAGTGTGGGGGGGTTTTAAATAACAACAGATTGTACCAAAATTGGTGCAGTTGTTCAGCATTGTTCAGGCTTCAGTTTTGAAGCTCCCATTGCTTCGTGCACGGAAGTGTTACACAAATGTACTATATATATGCCTGTATATAATAAGCAAAGATGATCTTTTCTGTTTGCTTTAAATCACAACACTGGGTATTTGAGAATCTTTAGCTGTCCCAAGTTTTCCTTCTAAATGTCACTTGCAGCTGTGAAGCCAATGTATTCTGTCATGTGCAGATCAAAACTAGGAGAAATTATACAACTGGAACTTTAATACTTCTTTAATATCATTTTAGCACTCTCATGTGTCTATGGCAGAAGTAATAGGGCTGCTAGGTGGAAGATACTCTGAAGCTGATAAAATTGTTGAAGTAAGTGTCTTTTTGCATTTTCTCTAAAATATTAGAAGTGTTATGATAATATATATAATTTGAATAGATAGAAAAGTTATTTTGGAAGGGCAACTACTTAAATATATTTAAATGGAAGTTCATTACTGTAGTCTTGAAATGTGAGAGTTACGCTTATGTCCAAGTGTTGGCCTGTCACCTCCATCCTGAGGAAGATCTGGTAGATGGCTCTTAAAATTCTTTAGGTTTTTATATAACTGATGGAGATTTCTTGCAGTTATCTATCTGGAGACTTTTTTAACAGGTCTGTGCCGCAGAGCCGTGCAATAGCCTCAGTACGGGCCTGCAGTGCGAGATGGATCCGGTGTCGCAGACTCAGGCCTCGGAAACGCTGGCTGCCAGGGGCTACAGGGTTATTGGGTGGTACCACTCCCACCCGGCCTTCGACCCCAACCCCTCCATCCGAGATATTGACACTCAAGCAAAATACCAGGTACCTGCTGGTCTGCACACTAAAAAATAATAAAAAAAAAAAAAAACAGCAAAAAACCAACCCCAGCAACCCTAAAGCTTCCCTGGCGTTTACAGGGTTAATGCACATTATTGCTCTAAGGCAACTTCGAATCAGTTCAATCATGAATCGACATGAAGTCTGTTGGTTTAATTTCAGAATGCTGTTCTGAAAAAAGTTATATTTCTTGTATGTGGGTTTTTTGTGTGTGTGTGTTTGGTTGTTTTTTTTTTTTTTAGAGTTATTTCTCCAGGGGTGGCGCCATGTTCATCGGAATGATTATAAGTCCTTACAACCGAAATAATCCTCTTCCGTATTCTCAGACTACTTGTCTAGTAATTAGTGATGAGATCAGTTCTGATGGTTCCTACCGTAAGTACTGGTATTTTATCCACTGTCTTAATTTTTCTTTCCCTTTTGTGGATACTAAGGGCAAAAATGTTGTCTGTTCTTGAACTTGAGAAATAAGTATTTATATTTTTATGTTAGTAATTTGTGCAGTACAAAACCAGGGATTTCACTTACAGAGTAACCCTGCAAGTAGTCCATGCTGTCATGACACGAATATGCAGGTATAGATAGATAGAAGAATGTGGGAAATAGTAATACAGAAAAACAATCTGTGGAAGAAATTAAAGGGCTGGGAACAAGGGTCACTGTTATTTACATCCAGTATCCATACGAATAGCTGAGAAACTGCTTCGCATGTATTGCTTATACTTTGCTGAGTTGGAAAATTCTGAACAGACTCGCTGATGGAGGACACAGAAGTATGATGGCAAAGAGCTGGCTGCTACAGCGGCCAAAAATCCTTACTTGAGTAACTTGGCATTCAGAAGGTCAAAGGATCAACCTTGCCAGCTGTTCAGGAAAACACCAGCTCTGAGAGATGAAGCGCTACGCTGGCTTGAATCCCAACCTAAGAGAAGAAATTCTTGATTAAAAATGTCATTGGCACGTCATGAAAATGAGATGTTTTCCTTTCTCGAATAGTTAACAACATATCTCAAATTGATGGTATTTCCAATGATGATCAGATCTTCTGCTTGTTCCCTGATGTTAATTTGAGGAGAATTCCCACGATAACAGCATATGGTCGTGGTGGCTGCCTCTTCCCTCTCCTCCTCCTCCTTTCCCCTCTTTAAGTCCTGCTTTTTGCATCCAGACTCCCAGGTTTCGGGTTTCCTGGCCAAGGCGGTAGCAGCGGCCATGGGAGCCGACAGTTCCCCCTCTGTTTTTTCCTGGGGAAGTAAGCAGGGGACACCATCTGCCAGGAGACTGGCTTCGTAGTCCTCGGGGAAGGGAAGTGACGGCCACATCTGTGCAGTGATTCCTGTTTACCACACTGATAGCACTGTCATTTTATCCTCATTTCAAAGGCATCCCGCTCTTGTGGTGTGGAGTTTAAAATGCTTAGAAACCTTATCTGCCCTTAGAAGTAGACATATTTCTTTGGTTGTATACATTTTCTTTCCGAGAGGACTTCATATTTATGTTTATCTCCCCAAATCAAGTTGTTACAACGTGGTATCTCCTCTAGCTCTTTGGAAAAGTTACACCATGGCTGTAGCACTACAGTACTGTGCAAATGAACAAAAATTAGTATTTCATATGAGCCGTAAATATTTCTATAGATAATTCTTACTCTTGGAAATGCATTCTGTACTGAACACTTCTCCCATTTGAGATTTGTTCAAATAACAAATGGTATTTATTGCTTTTCACTTACTCTGAGGTCTAGTTGAAAATCACGCATTTCATCTCATTAAATTCTTACTATCTTGGAAAGGCTGATTTTTTTTTTTTTTTTTTTTTTTTTTTTTTTCTTTTTAATGACCTACTGAAATTTACCATCTCTTTCTTTCTCCCTGATTTTTGGTAACTCAGTTGTGCTCTGCAAGTTCTGGTGGACCTTCAGAATACTTTCTAAATTCCTCTTCTGCCACCTGCAATAAGCTAGAAGAATTTCTTCCGTTAGGAGCAAAATTCCTCTGAAATACAGAACAACAGTCAGCTACTTCACCAGCTAGGTCATATATAAAAACCAAAACCTGTTGTATTCACTTAATAACCCCATAGATCTTAGAGAGAATACAAAAATGGTACAAAGTTATAAAAACTCAATTCATTTCACTGTTTTTATCTGTTCCGTTGTAGATTTGTGTGCTTCCTTATGGCGTGAGGAATTAGTGAGGGCAGGGAGGAGAACAGGCTTGTTTCCTACTCTCAACAAAATTCAGTTTGGAATCCAAAATGCATCATGCTTCTCCCTTAACCTCCTTAACATTGGCCAATGCAATTGGGACTGCAAACTTCTGCAGTCAGTAATAAATTATGAACAGTTACGGGAAGGAAGGGATTGTATCTAAAACTAAAAAAGAGAAAAAAAAAAAAAAGTTGTGTACTAGAAAAGAAACACTGAAGAATCATGTCCTGTTGATTACAGGCCTGCCCTACAAATTTGAAGTCCAGCAAATGTTGGAGGAACCTCAGTGGGAATTAATATTTGAAAAAACGAGATGGATAATTGAAAAATACAGATTGTGCCATAGGTAGGTGTCTACTTCTAGTATAAAGAATATGCAGTTTAGACTTTTTGCATGTTTGTGTTTCCATAGAGTGTGGCTGCTTTCTATAGCACTGCTGTTTGTTTTTCATTCAACAGCAGTGTCCCCATGGATAAAATTTTTCATAGAGAATCTGACCTGACTTGTTTGCAGAAAGTAAGTTTCCTTCTTTTAGCTTTTTAAATTTTAAATGTTTTTTTTTTAAATAGAAATCTGTTTGGTATCATCAGAAGTCACCTGAAGTTACATTCTTACATATCAGAGATGGAAACTACTCACAATAAATGGCTTCTGTGGTGCAGCTTATTTACTTACAAACACAATTTTGAACTGTGTTTGTAAGTAACTAAGGAGTAGGAAGTAAATAAGGATGCTCACTTGAGAGAGTTGGCGACGACGGTTACCTGCAGATACCAGGTTTCAACCTCAGTTTGGAGGAGAACGAATGGTCAATTAATCGTATCTCTTCTCAGCCTGCTGTACACTTTTGGTGTTGAGAACTGCATGTGTTTCAAGAGGAGATTTGGACTTCCTAGTCCTCTGTTCCACCAGTGAAGTAGTGCTGAGCCGTGTTTGTCATGCAGAAGTGAGAACTTTAATTTTCCAGTCAGTGTAGTCGTTACTGTGAAGTTCTAAATAACTACAGCTGTAACATTAATTGCACGAACAAGACAGAAAATCTGCCCAAAGCAAAAGACATAAACAGAAAACACGTACACAATGATTACCCACAGCTAATTTTTTTCTTCTCTCAACATGCCTTTGCTTATAAACAGCTGAAATCTGAAATTGAGTTGACAGAATGCTCTTGAATTTAGCTGTTGTGTAATTGGGTTTAGAGAATTGGTTTTAAATCACCCATGTGTTCCTGTGTGACTGTTCCTTTCTAGAATTTATATTGTGCAGTTGAACACTTTCTGTAGTGTTAATCCAAAATAAATAAATAAAAATCCTTTTGGAATATTTATCAGCTAGAAGGGGAAAAAAATGAATTCAGGAGAAAAAACAACTCTGGAAAAATGACAATTTAAAAAAATCTCTTCTTCTTTTGACTAGCTTTTGGAGTGCATGAGGAAGACTTTGGGCAAGGTAACAAACTGCTTCATTGCTGAAGAGTTCTTGACTCAGATAGAAAGCTTATTCATTTCCACATACAAGAGTGAGAAAAAGAGTAATGCCGAGGAGAATGAGAATGAATGTTCAAATTAATTGCCAATGTGATGGCTTTAACAAAACAAAATTATGGAATTCTGGTTTTGTTTTTTCATTTCCTTCCCCTCCTCTCCATTATGTCTACTCTTACAGAAATATTATCCATTTTAATAGTAACTGTTACAGAATCTGGTGCCATCTTAAAGTACATTTAAACCGTAACAGTGAAAAACTCCTAATATGTGTGACCTGCCTACATGAGGAACACTCAGTACTACCATTTTGTAAAAAATGAGTGTCACAGAATTGATTGACCAACAGTCTGCCATTTGGGAAGAAGGACAACCTGGCAAGAATACCGTGCTTCAGCCTTCAAGCAGGGTTTGTGTCTCTCGTCTTTCAGTTTGGGAATTTTCTCTTTTTATTTATTTACAGGCACACATCTAACTCGGAATTAATTTGTTCCTTAGTGCTTTAGAGATTGTAAGTTTGAATGAAATCACAAAAGAGGAACTTAAGTGAAAATTCCGTAGCTCAGTGGTTTCAAACTTCCCTGGTATCCGGTCTGAAGATTTATTCAGTTGTAGTTTTAACACATCATCTGATTTTTTTTTTTTTTAATTTTTTCTATTTTTTTTTTTCCCTCCCATTGATCCCAGTGGTCAAGAAGGTTTTTGGCATGTTCTTTGCCATCTTGCTTCTATATTGGGGAGGAAAAGCTGGCAAGTTTTCCTGACTTCTTGGTAGTGGTTGTGCTTGTTTCCAGTGGAAATGATAACTCCTGTCTTATTACGGGTTGCAATCTTTCTGGTCTTCCATTCTACAGGGAGATAATATGCTGTTCTGCCAGATCATTGTGATTTGTCCACTTCTAATTGCCACTGTTTCCTGTGGAAACAAGAGCTCTTGATTGACAGCAGAGTGCAACAGCAGAAAACTATTTGTCTTTTAAAGAAAAAACCCCACCAACTTTTATATTCAGTCTTCTCTATAATGTGCAGTTCAATAAGAAACACACTGGTTTGTATCAGTTCTTCGGTTATAATTTCATACAAGCATATATTCAGATAAACTAGTCATAAACAGATTGGTCTTGATTGAAAAGTTTCTTGATTGCAACTTGGCGATGCTTCATGAGCTATATCACTGTGAATCTTTGTAGAAAAAATGTGCTTTAAATTTGCTTTCAAAATCATAAGGAAACTTGACTTGTATATAGATATTACTATTTACACAGATTTATCTTGGGCAAAATTTTGCAGAGGTCTAAAATATATTTGAAAACATGAAGCAAGTAAAACCTTGAGTTTATATCTAGAGGGGTGACAATGGACTCAATTCCTATTTTTTAAAAAAAATGTATATATCTTATTCTACATAACATAAATGGAATTTTAAGATTTTTATATGTTTACATTTTTAACTTCAGCTTTTTGTTTGTATAAAGAGTTTGAGAGGCTTTAAAATTGTTGAGGTGCGCATCCCAAGGAGGGAACTCCTTTACAGGAAGTTAACATTTTTTTTATCACGCCTCATAAAATACTCGTCTCTTTTTGTGACAAAGTGGAAGGTGCAGAGCCTGATCATGGGAAAAAGTGAGCCCTTGATACTCATTGATTCTCCCTGTGCAGATGAAGAGCCAAGGACTTAGAAATAGTGGTGAATGTTCCATGCCCTCTCCTCTGTTCAGATCTGTGGTGGGCAGCTTTAGATCCCACTAACTGTGTGTAATTTACAAACTCGGTGTATCCAGCTGTGTAAGGCATGTTGACTCAGTCTGCGTATGTTCTAAAATGTCATCTTTGGAACTTCCTAATTAAAAATATTGCATGGCTTTCTGTATTTCTAGTCTTAACTACACTTGGTGAGAAAGCATTCCTTCCCTACCTAGCTGTGGAGTGCTCTGCAGTGTAAGGTATCTTCTGCAGTTTTGTGTAGGTTACTATCTAGAGAAATCACACAGTATCACTGCCTGTACTGAAAGCTGTAATTAGTTCTGATTTGTAGGAAGAGACTTTTGAACCTCTTGTGTAACAGCAATATGAAGTAGATAATGTTCGTTGTCCACATACAGTCTGTTCCCAACTGTTTAAGGATGGATGTCCGTATTACCCAAGCAGTGGTAACAGTGTGCTGGCTGCTTCTCTGTTTAATGATTAAAATGAGTTAAAGTAATACAGTTGTATTAATTGGATTTAACGGTGATGTTACATAAGAAAAGTTTTGAGTAAAACATACTTTAGAAGCAGTTTGTCTGTTAAGGAGATGGTGCAGTATTGAGCCTTCGATATGCACGAAGACTCCAGATGTTCTCGGAGTTCAGTAGCAGGGTGGTGTGGGAGGAAATACAACTGCCAGTACCAATGTAACTGGTATTATCACAGAGTCCTCTGTGAACTGGCAATACCACCTTTGTGATGCTAAGTAATATTTTGTTGGCAGAGGCCATGGTAAGAAAATAACTAACCTACTTCTCATAATTGGTGTGGTTAATAATCTGAGTTTGGAAGTTGCATGCTTCTAAAACAGAAATCTATTTTACTAATACTCTGATTTCTGCTACCAAACACATAAGGCATTAAGTATTTTTATAGGGATGCTCTTCCTCTTCCCCCCTCCCACCCCACCTCCAGCAATTCTTTTTATGCCAGCTTTGTTCTAGTGTACCTGTTGTGGACTAATACTCCATTTCTTTCTGTAAAACCAGCTGTTATGCCTTCCCAGGTCCTTCCTCAAGAGGTGGGAATTGGTTGAGTAGCAAGTAGAATGATACAACTTAAACTGGAAAACTCAACTTTAAAAAACAACCAAAAACCCCCAAAACCCCTTAAATGTAACTTTTGGCAAATACTCTTTATGGGCAGGTGTTGGCTGAGCCAAGTTTTGCGGTTCAAGTTAGCAGCAGTGCTTCTTCACAGGGGCATATGCCTTGTGTTCCGGGGAGGGGAATGCCCCTTTTTTAAAAAATAAGTAATTTTCCCAAAACAATTCAGCTAAGGAAAACAAATAACAATCCCCCAGCCAAATAAGAAAATTTCACCCTGTTGCCGTTGGTATTAAGTACTTTTTTTCCTTTTGCTTGCTGCTTTGATATTCCAGACTGATGGTATAAAAGAGTCTACTAATAAAGGCTGTATATGCAGTACCTTAGACGATGTGTTCCCTGTTTGTATTCGCTGCTTCTCTCTCGATCATCCGATCTGGCGTTTACTCCGGGTCACCAACAAATACGAAGTGATTCAACGAGGTGTAACACCACTAGAGGGAGCGTTGTCACAGCTGATCCAGAAAGCTTTTGAACTAAGGTCAAAACTCTGCTTAGCAGTGCAGGCAAACTTCAGGCTAGTGATTACATTTTATGAGCAATAGCTGCGTACTTTGGTGTAGATTTGTTTCTTTCATTTGTTCTTACAAACCCTGTGTGAGCTGGCCCAGGCAGGATGGATGTGGATGCACAAAAAGAGCAAATTTATTCTTGTTGGCGGGTTGGCAGGGGCACGCAAGCGGGGATGCCGGCAGGGCAGAGCTCGGTCCTTGCGAGCCAGAAAGGGAAGAAAGAAAAGATCTCAAACCTGCTGCTTTTGCCTGTACATATCAAGGATTTTCACCAGTGTACTTTTCTACTGTGCTCTGATCCTTCCCTCATCGGGGCAGGAATCTCAAGGCTGGTCGATAAGGTGCCCTCCCAGGCCTGTGTTATCTAAAAGCATGCATTCTACCCATCAAGCACACAAACCCAAACAACAATTAGTGTGATACGTGTGGTTTTTCAGTACCCCAGCTGCAAGTCACTGGAGCGCGTTTACATTCCTCACGGATCTTCCCTTGTACTCCCACAACCCCTCTGCTTTGTCTCCTTCAGACGATTCTGCCGCGGTGCTTTGCAGCGGGGAGGCCCGGGTGGGAGATGGGCATTTTCCACGCTCATTTCACAGAGAATCCTGGCGGTCGGGTCACTCCCGTACCTAACGGGTTTGTTTTCATGGGCAACTCCAGTGAAGTCTGGCAAGCAGCACGGGGGGTGCACAGTGCCCCTGGGAAGGGCCCCGGCACCTGTAAGGGGAAGGAAAGGTGCTGTGCTGGCACTGCACACCCCGCTGCGGCGGCGGGAGGCGTGCAGGGTGACTGCCCGGCCCCAGTGCGGGGGAAGGAGCTGGTTGTTAACATCCCAGTGAACACTGTAATCATATTTGATACTGAACAAAGTATTTAATGGCCTAGATAAAAGCATTCTGGTTGTTTAATTGGAAATGGCTTGCTGTTTTACATAGACCTAGTGCCCTATTTTTATGAGATTTAGAATTGTGCCGAGAAATTGTTTCCATGGAAGCAGAGATCACTAAAGAAATAATGCACTCCACATTTCCTACAGGATTATTCCTTTTACAGCCTGCTGTTCTAAATAATTAACTCTTGTAGTGCCATTACTGCTTTGCATGGATTAAAGGAAATAATACTTTTAGTGCCATAGAGGCATTACATATGTCTTTTTATATATATAAATGTATAGGTATTTGGAAAGATACTTGTCTATAAAATAAATCTGTTCTATTTACAAAGGGGAAAATCCACCAGTACAAAAATGTCAATGGAAAAGTGCACTTTTATTTTGACAGCTTATGCAGCTCTGTCAGGGAAACTTAAAATTCTTCCTTCTTTGCCCTTTTCTTGCCACTGTTCTACACTTTTTGCCTGGAGATGGGTATATTCTAAAACTGTCACCGTACTTCTGGCCACCTTTGAGGGAAGAGGCAATGAAGGTAATTTTTAACTAAGGTAACAACCCTGAGAATCTTCCACCAGTAGGAAATCTCGTTTAGTTACCTGTGGGTTTTCTTCCATCTATGACTTTTGACAAACCCCTTTTTCTCTGCTTCACTGTGTCTGTAATGATAATATGAGGCTGAGACCAAGCACAAATGTCCGTAAACATCACACAAGCAAAGGACTATTTACTAAAAAGTCCTGTTACTGCCTGTCCCTATGGTGCTTTCTAAGCCCAAGGGCAGTGCAGCTCTGCGCTGTACAGAAATTGCCACTGACGCCGGTTGTGAGCTGTAAGTTTACAGCAGCTGAGGCTCTGTGTCTTCCCAAGAGAACCTACTCTCTCTGAAGCTCATAATGTGAAATAAAGACAAGATAGGAGTAGGTGACAGTTAAATGGATTTTGACTTTGAAGGAGGGATGTGAAATTTTTTTTAAAAGCAGATTATTACAGGCAAAGGACTTACTTAGAAATTAAAAATGGGAAGAGAGTTACTAAACTATTATCAAAGAAACATCAATATGACAATTTGAAAAACCTGGCAATTTTAAGAATTATTTCAGCTGTAGATCTCTATTTTCTAAGAAAGCTAACTACTGTTAGTTTTATCAGAAGGAAGGGGAAATGGAGAGAGGTGTGATAATGTGCTATAAAGGAGCCAGGAATAATTTGAAATTATCTCATCTTTGCTCCTTCAAGTAACATGTGTTTCTGCGGCTTATTTAGAAACGGGTCTAGCTGCACAGTTCAACTCCAGACTGTGCCCTTCTCTAGTGGCAGAGGGGCTTTACATCTGGAGCTCTAGTTTTGAACCTCCACCGTGTTACAAATCCTCACTGGCAGCCAGTAACCCACCCTGCACTGATCTGAAGCGGGGCCGGCCCTCAGGAAAACAGCCACACTGGTAAAGGAGCCGCCTGCAAGGCAGCGTGGACGGGAGGAGGGTGTGTACGCTCTTCTGTGGTCATTACTGGTCCCAAAATAATGATTCGTAAACTGACAGTGTTTGGTAAATCAGATGAATGGGGCTCGCTTAATGCAAACTGGAAAATACCTTTCAGCTTCTGCCAAACCCCATGGAAACGCTAACTCATGCTTTGTAGATCATTAGGACACTTGGGAGCTACTGGAGTGTACTGCAAAAGGCATTACTCAAAGCTCAGATTGAAAAATTTCTTCAGAAATGGCTAACAACTTTGTAAAGGTAAATGCAAGCATGAAAATCATTCCTAGCACTGTCTTGGGATGAGTATATGCCAAAGGAAAGTAGGGAGAGAGGCTTTCCATGCTGGAAGTGAGACTGTGCTCCTGTGCCCTGGGAGGAGAGCAGCCGTCAAACTGATCACCAGTCGTTCCTTCTGAATTGGCAGCTACTCCAGGCAGCGTACATAAAACTCCAAAAGGCTTTATTTTATAAATATATGAAAGTAGAAAGGAGGAAGTCCCTAACTGATAAGAATCTAGACAGTGGAATGACGCAGTAGCTGTGTGATGGAAGATGCAGGAAAAGCCATGATAGAAGTGGAAGAGTAAGATTTCTTCCAACAGAATTAGGAGAAATTCCTTAAACATGCACTTACAAAGTCCATAAAAAGTCTAAAGAAGGAGGACAAGCTACCTGGGCTTTCATCCATAAGGGAAGCCCAAGGTCAGAGCGATGCTTCCAGTTGGCTTTTGGCTCTTCCCTGGTGTTTGCTCATAAGGCATGGGGGATGGCAGCAGCGGTGCCACTCCGAGGTAAGAGAAGCAGCTGCAGCTTGTTAACTTCTCTGGGATTTGGGTTGGAGATGCCAGCTGTTCTGGAAGGAGAACCTGTTTGGTGGGTCCGATTTGAATCTCGATCAAGGGAACAGCACACCAGTGTGTAGAAACGAGTAGACATCGTGAATGGATTAAAGCTTCAGATACTGCCAGATACCGGGGACTCGAACCACGCTTTTCAGCTGCAACATGGAGCCTCTGCTTGGGGTTTTGCTGGGTTTGATTCTGGCAGCAGCTTCATCGGCCCCGAACAGCTGTACCTGTGCGACCAACAAGTGGGCGGCCTGTGCCCAGGACGGACCCGGGAACTGCACCTGCACGCTGGTAGGTTCAAATCACAAGGTAGATTGCTCAACGCTGACTTCAAAATGTTTGCTGATGAAGGTAGAAATGATCCCCCTGAAGGAGAAGTGCTTCTGGGGCCATTCCTGTGGGCTGTTACATAATGATGGCATTTACAATCCAGACTGGGAGGACAGTGGTATCTTCAAAGCCAGGCAGTGCAGTCAAACCGATACTTGCTGGTGTGTGAACAACGCCGGAGTACGAAGAACCGAAAAGCATGACAGAAACCTGAGTTGTGGTGAGCTGGTTAGAACAAGCTGGATCTACATTGAACTGAAGCACAAAAGAAGCCCCAATGCCTTTGATGTTACCGACGTAGAAAATGCCCTGAAACATCTGTTTGAGAGCCAATATAAACTGCAACCCAAGTACATCGCAGCCGTTAAGTACGATTCCCCATTTATCCAAATCCACCTGAACCAGAATGAGAAACCTAGGTGTGAGTTGATGTAGCCTATTACTTTGAAAGGGATATAAAAGATGACTCCATATTTCATTCTAACAGTACATTAACTGTCTCCGTCAATGGAGATGCTCTGGATATTGAAAAACTATGGATTTACTACGTTGATGAAAAGCCACCAGAGTTTTGCATGAGACAACTGGTTTCTGGCATCAGTGCTGTGGTGACAGTGGTGATGCTGACTGCTGGCTTTGGCATCGCTGTGCTGGTCATCCGGAGGTGGCTGTGGACAAGAAGGTACAAGAAAGTTGAGATTAAAGAAATGGGTGAAATAAGAGCACCAAGTTTACAGCTGCCCTGATCTGAAAAAAGAAAGGCAGCAACATGAAGAAAACAAAATGAATAAAAAGCACAAAATGCAAACAGCAGACAGAATCAGCGCATGTGGATGAATTTGGAGAGGTTTTTTTCCTTTCTACAGGAATCTGTACAGTGGTTGTTCTAAATTATTCTAATTTAGTAAGAATTACTTTTTTGTTTTGGGTATAAACTAATTTAGGAGTCAGTTACCTAAATATTTTAAATGAGCCCAAATTTGGAGGTTAAGAAAACTTACAGCTGTCTGTTTAGCATAACATAGAATGCTGTCACTAGTACTGGAGGCCTGGTTCTGCTTGCTTAAATACTCTTTGAGTGGTTCTTGGTAAAGCTACTTACTGAAATTCAAATATTTGCCTTGGCATAATTGGGTTATATAGCTGCTTTTCCGTTGGTAAAGACTTTTTCTAAAATGTGAGTTGTTTGCCTTTTTTTGTTTGTTTGTTTGTTTAAGTTGCTGGAACTTTTTTTATCAACAAGTAATTTCATAAGTATTACTAAATTACCAAGTAAGGTTTTGATAAGATATTCTACAACACCAGAGGCTTTTATATAGAGTCATTTGTTAGGAAACATTCCTGCAGTCACTTCCAGGTGCAGAGATCCCAAGTTTCTGAGTTTGTATTCAGGCAGCACAGTGAGCTATTCCCACGTGTGCTCTTTAACAAGGGTCTGACACTCCTCGTCAGCAAATATCCCTTGATCCCAATGCAAGTGTAAGTTAACCTTGGTGTTCCGCCCAAATTCAAACTCTGGTAATAGCTTTCTGTCTACCTAAATTCCCCTTGCAATTTTAATAGGAGGAGATATTTTTCAGTGTTGTACAGCTTCACAGAAATACTACACAATGCTTCAGGACAAGCTGAGAAAGAGCTTTATTCTAAAAGAGCTGCAGGGGGAATTTAAGAGCAGAGTGTAATTACTGAAGTTGGAATTGGGCCAAGATGCTAGAACTGGACTTCTCTGCTACCTACTCATCTGCTGCATTCCTTGTTTGGGAGGTCATACCCACCATGAAGGACATTTTAAAGAAAATAATGCTGGTTGTTAAATGTTGTTGGCAGTTACATTCTCCGTACTGCATATGGGTGTCTGAGGTCCCATCAGTCTAATCTGCTTATGTTCCAAATGAGACTCTACACCTAGGCACCGCAGCAGGGTCAGCTCTTTTATTCTGTTAATTAGTTTCAATGTTACTAGTTTGTAATTATAATAACAAATGTGCTACTTCTAGGGCAAACTATTAAATATACATCTCTGATTCTACTGAATGAACAGGATACCAGGAAAAAGTGAAGATGCTTTGATTCCGTTTCTGCCTTTGTTTATACAGAAGAGATTTGCTGTTTGAGGGGTGGCGGGTAGATGTTTGTTTTATATTTTTTGACTCAATAAAAGCCATTTCCATTTAACCTCATTCTTGTTCACTTACCTGCTGGCAAAATTCAGGCTTTGGGTACACAGAATGGGGTAGATGCATCACATTTCCCCAAAATAAGTTTTTTCTGCAATTGTATCAGCAGTATTAATACATTCAAAATTTTGGAGCAGGGTCTGTAATTTACTTTGTGCCTTACAGCAACACATCCAAGCTGGTTGTTTTTCAGTCAAGTGTATACATTAGTACTGATAGAAGATGAAGTGAGAATTTAATACCTAGGCTGAATTTTCCCAAGTCATAGGAAACTTCAGAATTTACCCTAACTTCACACACTTTTGTAATTAGGCTTCTATAAAGTGGATTAAATTAAAAATCTGGCACCGAGTAGCCCTCAGTGCTGAAGAAATGTAGGATAAGAATAAAAAATGTTTCAAATACATTGCTTAACCACTTTCTTAACTCACGCAGAGCTGATAAAAGCTATGTGTTTGAGAGGCTGGTGCTGTCATTCCCTCAAAGAAGACCCTGAGATGTGCAGTCTTTTCTGGGGATCTACTGTGGCTTCAACATTCTTTTAAAAGCACCATTCTTCTTATTTCTGTCATAAGAAAAACAAATATTTTAAAGGTGAATGATTTTATATTAAAATAGAATATAAACATGTAGGCATAATTTTGATTAGGACAGGCAAAAGTGACTACCTGTTGAAAGAATCGTAACAGGTAACATTTTCAGCATCTGTCTTTGGCTCCTGCTTTTCTTTGCAGAAGCTGAAATTGAGAAGAGAGGCTGTTGTGATGCCATTCTTTATTTTTATTAATAATTAAAGGACTTCCCCATGAAAATCACGCACTGTGGTCAGTTATTTCCTTGCTAGTCATCAAGCACCACTAGACTGCATGCTGCTAGGGGACTGGAAATGCACTAGGGTCATTTAATAGGAGTGATAAGGTATGTGTCTGCAATTAATCAAAAGAATGGGAAGATTAATTGCAGTGCAGAGCTCAGACAACCTCTCTTTGGACTAGATCATTCTACTTGAATAAAGCTATGTAAAGATCTGGATTTTAATAAACCAAACATACCCACTGCTCCTGCTAAGTACTCATTTCTCTCCTGCTGCTCCAGTCATACCACCTCTTGGACTGTGTATTAATGTATTTTTTGCACATGGTAGATGAAGTATTTTACTGTAACAGTCCATCATGTTCAGCTTGTTTGACTTTCTGCCCACTGTTGATGTTCTCACTGAAAAGGAGAAAATGAACTCATTGTCAGCGTTACATTTTTCAAAATTAAAATGCTTTTTATTATTCATTCTCATTTAGAAATTTTTAAGGCTGAAATTTCTAGTTATCCTTTTCCTGATTACATCATCCTGTTTTGATGGTGTGTTTGTTCATTGTATTTAAGTAATTAGGCTTCATACTCTGCAGTGGGTTCTGTGGGTACAGCCAGCACGGTGACAGTGATGGTGGTTACACGTTCCAGGTGGCACTGGCTGACAGCTTTCCAGCAGTGCCCTGAATGAGGTGATTAACATCAGTTGTGTATCAGTTTCAGGGGCGTCTGCTCAGGCATAAATGTATTCAAGGGATCATTTTGGTTTGGAATGCTGTTTTAATATTCTGTAGGTATAAATACATTCATATTTAGGCATATTTATGCATCTATCTGTGGGTTTATGGTACTACCTACCTGGATAATGTAACAGAGGCTATGCTTGCTTTAACGAAGGTAGAGCTGCTGCCTAAATTATGTTCTGCAATTCCAACTGGTGAAGAGACCTCAAAATAACCCCTGGCAGAGGAAAAAATCCTGTCTGTGCTACAACTCTTCAGAAGATAGTGCTGCCCTTTCCATACAGCACTACTACCTTTGTGCAACTGCACAAAGCCCGTGTTGGCCTTCATTTTTTAGTTAAAACTTTTTTAACCACTCAAGATCTGAGGGCAGTGCCAGAAGCAATGCCAGCACTACAGCAAGGAAATGAAAGATAAGGATTCATGGGAGGATTAAAACCCTCTTAAACTCTGTTCCCTCTATTCCCCCTGGTAAAATCCATGCCTGCTTATATATGCAAGTATGTATTCTTGAACGCATTGACACAAAATCCCTGCATTAGTTTGCATATGACTGGTTTGTGTGTACACACATGTCCATTCCCACACCTAGACTTAAAGACACACACATCACTGTTTGATAGAGCAGGCAAGCCCTAGGGAAAGCTTTGTGGCAGCAGATCCTACATTGCGTTCAGCCAGACTGCTCCAGCTCTTATCAGTGGTAAAATAGTCCCAACCTGCTGCTGTTTTGGAACAACGAAGAATCTTCTTCTTGTCCCATCTTCCCCGGATTAAGAATAATCTCTTTATGGATGTTTAGACTGGGACTATGGCCAGATTGGGTTAACGATGTGAAACAAAATGCCTGCCACATAACCACACTCAACCCCTCTCTTCTTGTTCAGCTGGTAAAACACCGGCAGGCCTGTGATATTAAGCACTTACTGACAACTAGAGACAACATCCCCCCGGTATTCCTTAAAATGTTTAAACCTCAGGGAATCACCTTAGAAAAAACAAACCAATTTCTATTACTTGTGTATCAAGACCGCTTTTGCGGAGAATAGTTAAAGTAACAAATTGGCCCTTCCTCCACTTCTTAATTGGACCAGTTAATGCTATTAAACAGATAGTCTTTCTCATGCAGGTATAATTATCCTATCCAAACCGTTTCCACTGATTTGCCTCAGGGTTTTAAATCCTGCAATTACCTTTTTTTTTTTTTTTTTAATGCTAAAATTAATTTTAAGTCATTACAATTGCTATCAGGGCAGGAAAAATCAACTTCCAGAACTTTTACAATTATTATTCAGCACTTCCAATGAAATTCCTTGTACCAGGATTTCTCTAGTTAAAATTTCATACATGCCAGGCAGCCTGACAGATTCACATCTCATTTCCATGAGATCCCTATTCCCCAGGGGAAAACACTCTTACAGTCCTACTCCAGCACAAAGCAAGCACCACAGAAACAATTAGGGAGACTTTGTATTACCTAAATGAAAGAACGAGTGAGAATGCATTTCTAATTTTCCATTGAGATTTTTACACGTGGGCCCAACAATACTGGTAGCATATGCACCCAACCTTTTTCAGCTTTTTTTTTTTTCCCCAAATAAATGTCTGTAAGGCTTGAAATGAGAAATCTCAGCATTTTTGCTAGTCTGGTTTCACCCAGAAAAGCTAAGCAGAAAAACTAGAAAGTAATTGGATGTGGCTGTGCTGTAGCCACTGCACTGTGCTGTGCAGACACACTCTTTTTTAGCACAGGTCTGTTGAGTTCTCCTTTTTTCTGCCTATGTTCACATACTCTTTTCTGTTGTTGGAACTAAGATAGCTTTATAATTGTCTCAATTCCACTGAAGGACTTAAGCAAAATCTCTTGAGTATAGAAAGTTAATTAATGTTGCCTTTTTTCAGCCTCTCTCCAAAAAATTTTGCATTTTAGAGATCTAGTAGAACAATTATGTCATGTTTGCTATTTTCACTTACATTTTTATGCAGGTTGGCTGCTCCAAAAGCAGTTTACAAATTATGTGCAAGAATTAGAAGCTAGAAGAATAAAAACTACTAAGTGATAGAGTCTCAGAATTTCTGCCAGTTTTGGAACTACTAAGCATCCAAGTTACCTTCTGAAGTGCAATGGTTGTCAGATCTGGCAAGCTGAAAGCAATGCTGGAGTTCATTTTCATTAATTAATTTTAAGGCCCTCAAAATCAGAAGTTCCTAAAATGTATTTAATCTGAATGTTTGTATATTGTATATCAGGTTCCTTAACTCACAGTATCTTGTCTCCGTTTATCCTGCCCCAGAAAAGAAGAAAAATAACTAACGCACTTAACTCTGGGTTGACCAGCATCCTGGGCCAGCAAGGTACCCGATGCTCACGCAAGCCAGCGGAAGAGTGGCAGCACTGGGCAATTCCCAGGAATGCCGGTGCTGAACAAATGGCACTAACAAACTGGACATCTGGGAGATCAAAATCGATTCCTTAGTAGTAAGGGATCCATTAGTCTTTTGTGACTTTTACTGAGAGTCTTTCATTAAAATATTGTAAGCTAGAAAGCAAAGACCTCAGATCTTGGAAAAAGACCTTAGAACCTCTTCATACATATTTTGGAAAGGACTGTATTGAATTTTACAAGAACTTTTAGAGAAAGTTTTGCAGTAAACTTCTGTTTGGTTGAATAACTTAATCTTCTGGATCTTGAATCTACCTTTTTTTTTTTTTTTTTTTTTTTTTTATATCAACAACATGGCTAATAAGCAGAAATCTTTATTACCTATTAACAAATTCCTAAATAGCATCTACTAACCGGTACATCAGTAGGGCAAGGCACACTTAGTACAAAATACAATACACTCAGTGGATCAAGACAGGCTATCCTAGTGAACATTTGGGAAAATATTGGTATTTATGAAGAGTGTTACCTAGTCTTTTAAGTGAATGTGAACTCCTGAGATTGCAACTGGCCAAACAGGCTAAGTGGCACTAAAACCAATTTCTGACTTGCAGAGGGCTGATGGAGTGCATTGTTTCTGCCAAGACTTTAGCCCAACACTAATGAGGAAAAGTGAATTACAGTGGAATTTAAATGACAAAACCATCAGTTAATACTTAGTTTTTGCTTAGCCTTATATAAAAGCCAAATATTTTATTATTTTTTTTTCATTTGAAGCTGAAGACTGTACATTTTAACTCTCAATTTTTGTGATGATCAAAATTGGCGGCAGGGAGAAGTTAGTACCAAATTGTTTCCATCTGAAAATACAGGAAAATATTTTTTATATTTAAATGGTTTTCCTTACTTTTATTAGATTTGACATTTGCTTGTGTGGAGAATTTCATATATTTACAAAATCTCATTTAGTTTAGTACAACTATTTATACAGAGATGCAGAAATACTAATGGACACATCTACACAGGAAAGTTCTACTTGTTAAAAGTGTTAACTGTACAAAGAACTACTGCACAGTGTATTTGTACAGTGTATGCGAAGAGCAAGTGCTTTAATAAGATCCTGCCTAGTCAGTCAAGGGGCTTTGATACTAAGTGGTTTCCTCCACAGCAACTTGAAGCAAATATGTGGGGACAGATAATGATAAATGGCTCTGTGAGCTTCACCCTACCATGTAAAGAGTTCACAGGTGGTCCGTATGCATTTTCTTTGGGGAAAAAAAAAAAAAAGAGACAGCTGTGAAAATGCTGCATAATCCAAACTCCCTCTACAGATCCAGTTTTTCAGCAATGAAATTCAGTGCCGTGCTGAGGTTCATCAGAAAACCTATACATCACTTACAACCTCTAAGTAGGTCTTACACAGTCTTAAGGCCTTCTGGTCTTCAGAAACATTAATTAGTCTTTTTTTGAAGAAAAGATGAGGCTAGTAAGGAAAAGCTCAGCTACAAAACAAGTCTTAACCTACCTCTCTAAAGCATAGAGCTTTCTCTCACATGGTTATACTCATATATATTCATTAAAAATTAAAGAGGCGCCATAGTATAAATGACTAGTTAGAATGGTTTTTTTCGCTATATGTCTATTTAGAGAAAAACACTTTATAACTATCCAATTGCTCAACTGTTTACCAGATTTTCATAAAGAGATATTTAGCGTTGGTATCTGATAGAGAAATCCTATAACTACCTGTGCTGTATTTACCGCTTGTCTGCTTTGAAGTTTTAATTATAAATTACACCACTTGGGGAGACTTTAGAACTGCAGAGTGTAGAACACAATTTTTAGCTCCATCCTCACATGCCCAAAACATCCACCGAGTTTAACAGGAATTTAGGCGACTCAGGAATACAGAAGTAGCTTCTATACCCTCTATGCAGACAAGGTTAAATAATGCAATTGATGAAACAAATAATAGCAAAAGGAAATATGCCAAGAAAAAAAACAGAAAACCACGTTTTCAGCAGACTTGAAAGTGGAGACTCTCTGAGGTGGAAGAATGACATTTGCTCCACTGAAGAAATGGTAGAAATCCTTTATGCTTGGCTTTGGAACAGAGAATTCTAGATAAAAAAAGAAAAGCAAGCAAATACGAAGTCTAAGAACTAAGGACACTAAGCATCAGGAGGTATTCATGAGAGTTTCCATCTCCGTTCTTAATTTCTTGACAGCTGGGACACACACAGGCCTTAGGTTAGACAAAGCACTTTGCTGCTGCTAGAGCTCAGCTGCTTTTGTGACTGGAGCCAACGGTCACAAAAATTAATGCTGTGCTAATTGACTGGCAGATTTTACTCTTCATGCCTCTTATAATGGGGGCTGGGCAGGACTTGAAGGAATTGCATCTAATGAAAACAGACTTTCTACCTATCACTATTTAATGTTTCTTCTTGGCCTGGACTCCAAGATCTATGTTTTTTCCTTGGCAGCAGACATCACTGGTTAAGAACTGTCACAGGAATGGGCCTTAGTCATAAAAAAGGATGGACTAACGAGTTATCTCGACAAACACTGAGCAATACTTGACTGTGCTCATACACAGAGTATGTGACTGCTGAAGGCAAAGATCTGTTTCTTTACCTTTCACAATGAGGGCCTTTATTGACATGCAAAGCCCAAGGACCTTTACGAAGCCTCAGCTGCCCTGTCATTACCATACATCCCAGCCTCACCCTTTTGTTCAATTAATTACCCGTTTTTCACATCACATCATGTAAGATGTACTTCTGCCAGCTATATCAGCAGGCCAAGTTACGTATCAGGTTATCAGCTTGTCATTTTCTTGGATTTGGGGAAAGCCAGGTATCACCTCCTCACCTACCACTGTTGCAGGAGAGTTGACTGCTCCCTTCCACTGAAGTAGCATCAGCCCTCTCTGGTACCAGGAAGCATCTCAACACTTCAGGTCTCCAGAAACAGCTGTAAGCAAGCCCAAGGCATAACACCCATGAGCTCTGAAAGCTGAAAGAGCCTTAAGGTCTGGCTAAAGACAGGGGCAGGAGTCAGGGCCAACAGCCTCCGTGAGGTGAGGCTGGGCAGCGCACAGGCCTCCCAGCACCGCCAAGGGAAAAGGGCGGCAGCACCGCGGCTCTGCAGCTCCTGAAACGGACACCCCGCTCGCCTCCCCTCCCTGAGGTGCCGCTGCCGCCCCGGCAGCCACAAAATGGCGGGTCGGGGCGGCGGGGGCTCGAGGCAGGGGGCGGAGCCTCCGCGCGGGGGCGCGAGCGGCGGGGCAGGCCGCCGCCTGAGGGAAGGGCCCCGCCCGCCTCCCGCCCTCCGCCTCGGCCCGGCGCCGTCTCTGCCTTGGCCCCCTCCGGCTCCTCCTTCTCCCCCGCCTGCTGAGGTGGTGAGTAGGGCAGCCCAGCGGAGGAGGTCTGTTCCCGGAGCAGACCCCAGGGACGTCCAGCTGTGGCAGTGGCCAGAGCTGTCGTCGTTCCCCCCGCTTCCCCTTCCCCCTCCCCCCCCCGGCGGGCGCCTCAGTGTCACGTCTCCCTCTCTCACACCACCACACACACCCCCCTCCCCCCCCTCACGTTTGCGCGTATCACGATAGTCGCGCCAGCACCGAGGTCGGGTGGGGTTGCTCGCGTGCGGGATGCCGGGCGCTGAAGGCCGGCAGCCGAGGTCAGCACCCAAGGGCGGCTCGGGGCGTCAGGCCAGGAAGGGAGAACGAGGAAAAAGGCGGGTGGAACCGGCGGTGCGGATCCTACCTGAGGGGAGCCGTGGGCGGCGGGGAAAGGGAGGCTGGGTGCCGGGGCCTGCCCGGCGGGAAAGCATTTCCAGTCTTGTCCTCCGTCAGTAAGAGCAGCCGGGAGACTTAGTTCTGCCGTGTTGAGTCGCTTTATTTCTAGGCCGGGTGCAGCAGATGTGCACCCTGAGTTCTGGAGGAAAGCATTGGCAAAATGCTCAATAAGTACTGTTTTGTTTTGGGTTTTTGTTTTTTTTTTTTTTTTTTTTTTTTTTTTTCAATGTGTATGAATTGCACCTGTGGCAAGCAGACCAGCACAGAAAGGTGATGATGCACACGTGTTTTCTGCAAGGAACACCTGCAGCCATTCTGATCTGGTGGTAATAAAAGTGAAAGAAAAAGGAATCACGTTTTGTTTTGTTCTCTGTGATAAAAGACAGTGGCTTTTTCAGAGTTGAAAGCAGATTGGTACCTTAAAACTGCAACAGGATGCAGTTGCAACTGACACTTTTTCAGCGGTGCAACTGTTTACAAACAAATGCATGGTATCTGTTCAGATGGAAGTAGTGTTTCAGAAGGTCGTGTTTGGGTGGTTTTCATAACATCTCTGCTGTTTGTTTTTCTTTGTTTCAGGGTAAACAGCCAAAGAAGTTATGAATATCATCAGTGGTCTAAAGTTGCTGGGCAGGAACTGTATTTTCTTTCATTTGGCTTTGACCAAGCAGGGGAAGTGCAAGAATTTCTGTAAGTCTTACGCAGGATATTGCCGAGCTCAAGCCGGTTGTACCCGAGACAGATGCCAAAGGCTGGACTTGAGTGGAAATACTAGAAACTGTTTTTTGACTGGAAGCCCTGACTACTGTAGAACCTTAATTGGTAAAGGACAGAGGTATCTTTCAAATGTCTCAAATACAGAAGTACGCAGGAATGCACGCCACAGATTGGGAAAGTTTTGCTTTCGATCTTGTCAGCCACAGGGGGAGAAGACCACATGCCTCCAAATCAGTTCTGTAGGGCAACTCCCATGCCATTTTTCTGCTTGGAACATTCACATCATCAGGGCTTTTCACACATCACCATTACTTCAGGCCGCACCGGTTCCTCTTTTCTGGATTATCGTTAAGCCAGCTCAGAAGTTATTTGCTATCATTATTGGCAGGTAAAATACTAACTTATTTCATCTCTCAGTGTAAAACCCCGTTATGTAAAGATGTGTGCAGGAGTTTGTGGAGAATGCTAGGTGTATTTGTAGTGTTTTCATTTTAATATCTGTGCAAAACTTTGTAGGACTGTGGCCTTGACTGATGGTTTGCTCAATAAGAAGTTGTTTCCATTATCAGAGGTGCTAGATGTATCTTTTACTCTTGTGGTAGACTGAGATGAACCAAGGAACTAAGGGGCATTTCTTCTGTGGGAGGGAAGCAATGGAGTGGAGTGGAAGCCAGTTATAGTCCATAAGCTCTTACATGAGGTGAGACTGTAATAGAGAATACGGCAAGGACAGACACTAACACATTCCGTTCTAACTGTGTCCTAAGTTAACACTGTTTGTATCTTACAGGAGCATAAGAAATTGGTGGAAGGCACTTCCTCCTAATAAACGGGAACTTTTTAAAGAAAGTGCAAGGAAAAATAAATGGAAGATACTCCTGGGTATTAGTAGCTTAGGAGTCTTATTTGTTGTGTTTTATTTTACTCACTTGGAGGAGACACCTATCACAGGGCGTGCTCGTCTGTTGGTGTTTGGAAAAGAGCATTTTAGGGAACTGTCACAGATGGAATATGATATGGTAAGATTTAAAGAAAAAATTCTTTAATTTTTTAAAGAATTCTTTAAAAGAAAATTTCTTTAAAGAAAAATTCTTTAATTTTAATTTATCTTTAAACTCTAAAACTGTTAATGCTTATTTTTTTTTTAGTGATGAGATAGTCCAATTAATGAGATGAGCAAACAAAACTTGTGGTGTCCTTGATAAGTTTTGAACTTCATGCTCAGAACCCTGCAGAGCTTCCCCATCAATTAACCCCTCCTCTTGTCCCCATCCTTTTTGAGAGTTCCCTTTCCATCAGCAGACTGCTCAGGGTCATGTGGTAGTTTAAGAGCACATTACATGTGTGTAGCAAACACTTCTAACTGTGTTATTGTAATATAACAAGAAATACAGAAATCTGGTGGAAGCAATAAAAGCGTAGCTAATAGGTATATGCTGAGATCTGTCTGTGCTGATTTAAGCATTCTTTGGCTCTTAAGGTTCCCTCTTCTAAGCTGTCACTTTGTAAGGTAATACTCTCCACCAGCATTCAATTCTACTTCTTTTTCTTTTTTTTTCTTTGGATCAGCTAATTTTTCTTTCATTGCTTTCTTTTAAACTATCCTTTGCAATAATTTCTGTAAGTTTGACTTCAGTGGCTTTTGGTTCTAAAGCCAATGAAACTTGTTAGTCCATATACAAATGTCACTGTGTTCCTGTCTGACAGAGAATGTGAGATAAGAACTGAAGTACAAGTATATATTTAAATTTAAATTACATCTTTTGTATAAATGTGTCCAATTTACAAATTACAATAGGAATATACAGATACAGAAAAATTGCAATTTCAGATGGAAATACAGGAAGGTATAGAAAGGTTTGCCAAATTTTGATGCCAGGCTTAACTGTGTATTAGGAAATGCTAGATACAGGATGCTGTAAGACCAAGTTTATACTATCTTATTTTTGATCTGTGGTCAGTTTATTTCATTTTAAATTTATTTGTCCTTAACTTGTGGGTCTGAAAGCCTGAATTCTAATATATTGGCTTTGGCTATGTCATGGTTTGAGCCTGGTCAGCAGCCAACGACCGCAGCTGGTCACCCACCCTTCCCCCTCCCTATCTGGGAATGGTGAAAGAAAAACGTAATAAAACTCAGATTTAGCTAAGTTGTGTGTAGCCGCTAAATTAGTTTACCACTTAGTTGTTTACTGTGTGTTTGCTCTGCATGGCAATCAGTGAATTTTTTTTTTTCAGTGGATGGAGGAATTCAAAGGTAAAATGTTACCTGAAGCAGATGCACGCTATCAGGTTGTGGAGAGAGTTGTTGGTCATTTATCTGAAAGCAATAAGGACATCCCACAGGTCTCAGAGCTCAAGTGGGTTATCCATGTGGTAGACGAACCAGGTGTAAACGCTTTTGTGCTTCCAGTAAGTTGAAAATGATACAAAAATTACCAATAATATTGAAGCAGTATTTTGCTTGTGAGTCTTCTACTTAATTTTCACTGTCCTTTTGTTTACAGAATGGTCAGGTGTTTGTTTTCACTGGATTGCTAGATGCAGTTTCTGATATTCATCAGCTGTCTTTCATTTTGGGACATGAAATAGCTCACGCTGTGCTGGAACATGCAGTAAGTATTTAAAGAAAGCTGTCTAAAATTCTGAAATTAATACCGATTAATTAAGATTTATCCTATCACTACCAACCAAAGTTTCAGTGTGACTGTCTCTAATTCATGAAAATTGAGTTTGAAATGAGAATATTCTGCTACAGTATATCCTTATTACTCTTGTAGTACTTAATAACTGTCAGAAGTCATGTAGTAGTCAGTGTTAGCACAAAGTCTGCCAGTGCTTTTTTTCATACATGTACAGATGGATTATGGCTGACCATTAACAATCATTTAGAACCTGGTCTGCAGATGCCTCTCCTCATAGTGCAGACATAAGGAATTAGAAGCACTCAGCAACTCGGTTTGTTACTCCTACAGTTGCTAATATCTACAGAAGTGGATATACTTTAATAAACAATTATAAAATACATTATATTTTTGTTATAGTAGCACACACTTTTAGAATGCCAAATTGTAGAATGCATGGAACTCGATTCTGCATTTACAGATGATTGCTTTCACAGACTTAGTTTTTCCTTATCTTGATGTGGATGTGTTGAAATTGGTAGTTTTTTTGCCATTTGAACTGAGTGGATGTATTAATTTTGTCGTGCTTTGTAGGTACAACTATGAAAAAAGAGGATGGTATAGAAATATGGCTCATACTGTTCTAGGCTGAGGTGATTTGCAAGAAAGTGCTTCCTTGCCTCCAGATTCATTTCTTTCTGTACATATAATTTTAAAAATTTGCATTCATTGCCTGTCCATCAGTTTTAGAGGACATAATGAGAAGCTTGTAAACACAAAGATTCTGCTAAAATTGCAAAACCAATCTGGAAGTGGGTAAATACATTTTAAAGGCAGTGGAAATACAGGAGAATTGGTTTACCACATCTTGTATGATTGTGGATGAGCAGCAGTTCACATCATAGTTTCTTGGGCTCAGTTGAACCATCTAACTTGTTAAACTTATAAAAAAAATATTTCTAATAATAAAAAGAATTTACCTGGTTTGTATGGAACCTGCGTCACCCAGCTGGCACAGAGAAAAGTATTGCATGATCCAGCTTGTAAGTGCTCCGATCAATTTGTTGCATGTCAAATAGTGCTCTGAAAACCAGAAGAATTTACATTTCTTTGTTCAGGATCTCTCAAGTTTCTGAAATTAAAGGAATACAACAGAAAATAAAAAATAAATATATTATGCCTAGTGTCCCTTTATCCCATTAGTGTTCCTGTCTAAATGATGTTTATCTCTTCTCAAATTAATGTAAAGAACAGTCTTCTAGGTCTTTTAATAGATTTTTTTGTTCTAACTGAAGTATTTAATGGCCTTTTTACAAAAGAACTTTGCATGCTGCCATCATCTTATCTTGATCTTTGATCTCTTGAATTGGGATATAGACAAAAATTAAAAAGTATTTGTTCCAGCTGTATCTATGCAGTTGGTGTGGATTCTAGACCGAAAGTATCTTGTACCCAACTATACAGTGCAGTCAGGGGAGCTTGTGCTTGCCCTGTTCCTGTGGCTGCATAGAAGAAAAAAATTAGTGATTTAAGAAAGTGTCTCCAAATCCTATTATGTTCTAAAGAAAGTAAGGAATGAAAACAGGACCATTTCTGTCTGCAGGCGGAGAAAGCCAGCCTAGTTCACTTCTTGGATTTTCTATCACTCATCTTTCTCACTGTGATTTGGGCCATCTGTCCTCGTGATAGTTTGGCAGTTGTTGGCCAGTGGATTCAGAGCAAATTGCAGGAGGTAAGACCGACATTTTGTATTCTCCTTCCTGAGTTCCATGGAAAAACACTTCTAAACCTGGGGAGATAGTACCACTAAATAGTATGTTTGGGGAAAAAGGCTAGAGGATAAATACTACAAGCAAAAATTAATGTTGGAGTATGTTTCTGAATTAAATGTTTTTATAAACCTGCATCTGCTTTAGTTGATATATAGTTTCATTTGTCATCTTGAAGAACTTTGAATCTCCCTAAATGACTGATTTATCTGGACAGACATTGAGTACCTGATTGTCAATTAATTTAGATGATTGTCTTTTTGAAATGTAGCTCACCTTTTAAAGTTGTATATGTTGAAATGCCATGTCTTTATTTTGAGTAGTTGTTAAATTGTTTCTGAACCAAATAAAATATAGGGAATTATTTAAATACATTCTTAGTGGTAAGAATGGTTTCCAAGATAAGAAAATTGAGAATCCAAATACTTTTAAAGTATAAACCATGCTATAATAAAACTTACTGAAATAATCTTTTCAGTCAGGATATATTCCCGTAAAGTAAAATTCACAGGCTTTGTGGTGCCGGTTTTCTTCAGCAGTCTAATTTACTCTTTGCCTCTGGACAGTTACTGATCCATTTCTTTTTAAAAAAGTGAGTTTTCTTTAAACGAAATTTTGCTTACATCATAAAACTTGAATCTGAATTTAAGTGAAAGAGCTCTTTGGTTTCTATGACTTCTCTTGATGCTTTTCCTGAGATTTCCCCTGATTCCTCAGAAAGATGAAATTAAACATAACCAATCTGTTTTGGTAGTTCTTATGCTAATGAGTAGATGTGTGGATTCTGAACATAAATTATCTCTAAAGAGCTTGGATATTTGTACAAGTAGCTAAGAAACCAATACATTGATGAATGCTAGCCAGCATTTTGAAGAGCTGGATTTGGAAAAAACAAAGTGTGAATCAATCCTGAGACTGCTCATAATTTAGACAGCAAGATTTAACTCCCTGTCAGCATCTTTTCTCCTCTTCTAGGCTAACTTCAACTGGTATTTTGGCATCATGGATTGGAATTGTGCTTTAGATTGCAAATTGAATCTGGGTTTGAGTTCATAGTCTTAGTGTGCTATAGGAAAGATCTATCATATATGAGATACTGTACAGAAATGGCCTGGTTTAGAACTCTGATCAAACTCATCTTTGGAGACATTAAACGTAGCCGTATGTAATGCAGAATAAATAAGTGATTAATACTTGAGAAGCTTTCATCTGATATACAAAAGATGCTGAACAGAAATTTTTTTGTTAGTCACCCAGGAGTACAATGTCTGTTGGTTTCCTCCATTCAGCATTTGCCTAATGTGCTTATGTGAAAATGAATCTTTCTGCACATTTTCTGAGGATGTTTTTCCTCCTCTTTTGTAATTGTATTTTACTTCTTAAAGTTTTAGCATCCCACTTTTTGAAATGGTAATTTAAGCCACATTGCAGTACTTGCTTCTGTTTCAGTATTCGTTTTACTTTCATGTCCTCAGAGGCTTAACTTTTTTACCTACTGACTATTGTTTATTTTTAATTATTGACTGTAAATAGTTCTCCTTGACTCTTTCTAGGCCTTTTGGCATGTTAGCTCCAGTTCTGCTTTTTTCTCCAAAACTGGTGGGTTTACTTGCCTGAACTGCATTGTGTTGGCTTTGTTTTTACAGCAGCAGTTATTTTATATGGGAACTAAAGCCTAGAATTTATTCTAGACTTTATTTATTCTAGAATAAATTCTAGGCTTTGTCTAGATGGTCTATTAAGACACATTCAGAACATCAGTTTCTTAGTTCTTAAGTTCTGCATGTCTGTTTTGAGATGGATGCTACCTTTTCTTACTTAAAATTGTTGTAAACCTCCCAGAGAAGAAAACCAGCAGTGGTTGTAACTGAAGAAATAGGAAACTGCCCGATGGTGTAAGACGCTGTTTCAGTTAGTACTTTGGGTAGTCCTGTTGCCTGTTACCAGTTTCGTTTCCCTGTCTGAGAAACATTTAATAATTAAACAAATAGTTTATCTGGCTAACTGGAAAATGATTCTTCAGCAATATACGACAGCCTAGCCAGGGATATCATTGCTATTTAGTGAATACGTGCACTCTGGTAGACCCAGAGCATTTTTCAAGGCAATACAAATATATATTCCACTATAGCTATTCCACTGTTAACAAATATATTTATAATTGCAATGCTTAAGGTCTGTAAGGAAACTTAAGAATTTAAAAAGTGACCTCATCTATGCTTACTTATAAACTAGTGTATTTGGCTTTAAAAAACCTGTAGAGGATCAGCTTTGATTGGCATTTATTTTTGACCTAGTAAAGAAAAACTATCAGTACAACTTTAAAGAAGCAAGAAATTATAGATAAAAGTTACGTACTCAAAGGGTTGGACCACTTCTTTGGTGCTTTTCATTTCTATCTGTTTTGTCTTTTTTTTTTTTTTTTTCCTGGAACTTACAAGGAGGACATATTTTTATAACCAGATAAAGAGCTGAGAAGACCTTTTTATTTCTTTGCTAGCCTTGCACATCCCCATTCTTCAGTTGGTATTTCTTAATCAATGCCCAGATCAGAATGTTGTCACATGTTCCTTATCTCTGTAGGAGCAGGCTGTTTTAACAAGTCCTGATTTGCATTTACTATAACCTGATATACAAGGGCAAGGCTATCCAAATCTACATTAATTATATATGCCGGAAGACTCGTGAGTTATATGACTAAATAACCATTTGAGAAAACTACTGCTGTTTCTTAGTGTGTATTAATGCAATGTCATACCCTAGAAAAAACGGAGAGGGGTTGATCAGATTTATGTCTTCCAGTTTGATTTCTCAAGGGCAATTTGCAACTTGTTTTGGGGGATAATCATGACAAAGGAGTGATTTCTGCATGAAAATGTTTATGGCTGCATCTCATACTGTGGGCTGTTTACCATACAAAATAGATCAACAGCAGGTTCAAAGACAGTCATCATAAAAGTTCCAGGGAGCCACTGGAATTTTTTACATACAGTTGCTACAACAAAAATCTTAATTCAAATAAAAGAGTGAAGTGAAAATTTTCTAGTTTAAAGTTGGCATTGACCGCTTTGGTTGCTGCAAAATGCTGTGAGAGCGGCTGATGAGAGGGACAATGAAAGTATGTACACTTTGAATTCACCTCAACTGAATACAGGATCAATTACATATAATGGAATTAAAGATTACATTAAGAAAATTCATACTGTTCACATGGAATGTGAACATGATGGATAAACATCATTTCTCATGAGGAGGTTAGACTAGCTACAATGCTCTAGCTTTGTACACATTCAAAACTAAAAACCAGAGCTTTGATGTGCTTCTTTGCAGTTTATGTTTGATAGACCATACAGCAGAACATTGGAGGCTGAAGCTGATAAAGTGGGACTTCAGTTTGCAGCAAAGGTAACTACAACTTATTTGTTTTATTAGCAATTTACCAACCATTTTCCAATTTCCATTACAATCAGAGGGGGTTACACCCTTCATATAGAGGTAAACTGGGGGGGGGGGGAGAGGGTTCCCAAATTTTTAAAGAAACGTAGATTGATGAAGTAGTGGGAAATAAAACAATTTGATAGGGAAAGACAAAGTAATTCTGGCTAAATTGTATGTAATAATAATGAAGTTTGTAAAGTTTGCATTATTAAGTGTACAGTATGCTTTCTATGTAATTAATTACTATTAGAAGAAAAAGCTACATATTTGTAAAGAGGAGAATGCCAAATAGTGAGCTTCTGTAAGTAGGATATATTTCATTGTATGTAAAGCTATAAAATACCCCTTAGATTTTTGTTTCACTTAGTTTCCATCTATTGTGGGAAGTTCTGAGGAACACTGTATTATAGTGCAACCTAAAATATTCTGATCGTAATATCTATTCTCATAGCAATTCAGTAAAATTTAAGAACTTTTTGATAATATATGTATTCTGTGATTACTGATAATTATGAAGTATATCAGTATTGTTCTAGTATTTAAAGGTTTAGTCTAAACGCAGCTGTAAAAATAATGTGGCTTTGCTAAAGTAAGACAAAAATTTGGTCAGAAACTACTCAGCTTTTTTTTTTTTATAATTGTTTTCAGTCACTTTTTTTTTTGTTCCTGTGGATTTTAGTCTAGATTAAAGAAACTAAACCAACTCTTATTTTCAGCTAAGTGCAGTAGAACTAGGTGTTCGATAACTATGAGGGCAGCACCATCTAGTGTTAATATTTCATAAGGAAAATTTCCTTTTCTTAATAATTATTAATATTTCTTCAGGGAAGAGTTTTTAAAATTATTTGACTCTGTGATTGAAACTGCGTTTGTAGTTTAAAATCATCTAAGGGAATAATACAGTTCATGAAAAACCATAATTGTTGTGTGGGTGCTCACTGCTTTGTAATACTGAAGATATAGGGCCATACCAGAAAGAAACAAAGTGGTATCTCAGCATTTCTCTGCTTCTGCAGATAATCTTTTTATAACAATAATTTTAAGAAATAAATTCAAAGTGCAGAGCACCACTTCTGTATTTCTGGGGGAGAAAAAAAAAAAGCTAATTTTCTTACCTTCTGATTACTCGTGTCCTTTTCTCTTAAATAAATGAAAATTAATTTAAGAAATCTTACACTTTTTTTCCCCTACACTTAAATGCTAATATAAAAGAGTGTACTGGTGATATACAAATGCCATTCTTAAAGTTAGTGTTCCATGAGTTTCTATGGTTATATTTATACTTCTATAGAGAATGATAGGAGAGTCCTAGTTCTGCAGAATTACTATTTTAACCTGTTGTAAATTACAAAGATCACCCTTCAAAAAGGCAGTGTAATCACTTACAGAAAAGCCATTGCAGTTCATCTTTAGAGATATTTAAGTATGAATTATTATCACTATATTTTTGACTCTAAACTTCTTCCTGTAGATTTGTCTAAATCTTTGGAGACAATTAATTTGTTCTTCTGCTGTACTGTGTCTAGCAAATATAACTTAGAATAAGCAGCTGAGTTTTCCACAGAACAAGGACGTGCCAGAAAGTGTGAATCTGTCTTTCTCCTGAATTGTTTAATTCGGGTGTAAGTTTTTTAAGATCAGTGGAATTACATAGATGTTAAAAGGAACAAATCCAGTGTCTAACTGGATGAGTTTTTTACTACATTTAGATATTTTAGAAGAGCCTTTTCCTGTTGGGGGGGCATCTAAAAAGGCTCTGGAAATGTAAAACTTACGATGTCTTTTGTAATTCAATATCCACTAGGATGTGTATTGCATGACTTTAAAAATACTGTGGTTTATACATTTCTTTTCTGTTTCCAGGCTTGTGTGGATGTAAGAGCAAGCAGTGTATTTTGGCAACAAATGGAATTAGCAGAAAGCATTCAAGGGCAGCCCAAGTTACCAGAGTGGCTCTCCACACACCCTTCTCATGAAAATAGAGCTGAGCACTTAGACCGGCTTATCCCAGAGGTGAGCAGCGTTGAAGGAAATGTGTCTTTTTTCTCTTAGGAAGATTGCCAGAATGAGTTTGGTATTGATTCACAAGCTACTTTGGTATTGATTCACAATCTGCTCTTTTAGCATTGTGCTTATCTTTCTCTTTATCCTTACAGAAATTTTCTGTTATAAAGCTCTCAACCTTAAAGGTTTCATTAAATGAGGAAAAATTAAGATAGCACAGGTAAAATATAATTATATTCTAGTTGCCTTTTTTTTTTTTTCTTTTCTGATTTCTCATCAAAGTGTAGTATTTTTGCTTTTAAATGGCATTCCCGGTATAGATGTGACAGTGTTACAGGTGTCATCCATTTTATTTCTCCTTTTTGCCATTTTGGAAACCAGTTTTTAAGTTAGATCCATAAACTATCTTGACTTCTCTTACTTTGGTAGCTAGCCGTAGGCTGTCAGAGAATGCTCCATCCTATCCCGTCTCTCTCACTGACGTGGGATCGAATACACCTTGAATAACTGCCTCAGAAGAATGTCAGATCCCCGGTAGAAAATGTCCTAATGGTTCTAGTTATGATAGGTCTCTCTAGATTTTGCAGCCTGCTTTTTTCTTCACATCTCTGTTCTGTCACATTAGGGAGCAAATTTTACCCCATTCCAAGGAACTTGAGCTAATTCATGCAATTGCCCATCAGTCTTCAGTCTTTTCCCCGTTCTTTCTTTCAGATTTCCTCTCAGGAATGCCAAGTGGATAGCTACTTGGGGATTCTCTTAATTTGATGTGCTACTCGCTGGTAGTTTAAGGACAGAGAACTGTTCCAAGTTTAGTAATCTTAGTTTGTTTACTATTTGTTAAAATGGTGGATTTTTTAACTACAGAAAAATAACATTGGTTTTTTGCCTAGTTTTTTCTTTTTAAAATATAGTGTTAAAGCACTTCACACAGCACTGTTCTTCATCAAGCTAAACTGTGTTTGGAAATTCTCTTTCTTATAACCAACTGGTAATTTCTTCTTCTTCTTTTTTTTTTTTTTAACTCTCAGACACTTTAAGTGTTTCTCAATTCCAAACTATAAGGAGAGTTGAAGATTTATTGGCAGAGGGAGCACTAAAATGTTGAGGTGCTTGCCGATTTCAAAGGAGAAAAAAAGATTTTCATGAATCCTTTGATGAGAATTAATGCAGTAAATATTCTAAATGATGTCATAAATCAAAATCAACATTAGGGATAGGAGGTTGGAGACTGGCTAGACTGAATATTTTAAATTAAATATGCAAATTCTATACTTTGTAAAAACAGGTTGTGAGACTATTTTGATGGATTTTCTAACACATTAGAGCAGCTGAATGGAAAATTATACTTGTTGTGGAGCCTCAGTTTTAGTTAGATTGAACATAAAGGGTTCAGGATCCTTTATTTTTATACAGTTATTGACTGGCTTATAAAGTGGTAATGAAATAAATTACTACTTATGCTCTACCCCAGGACTTCGCAAATAAGGTAAATAACTGAGCAACTGTGTAGAATTGGCAGTCATGTCATTTCTGTCTTATCTCTTGTAGTTTAGCAGGTGGAGCAGCCTTCATCTTTTTATAGCCACTCTCACTTCCAAGAGTGGTGGAGACTAGGAAATTTTCTTCCAAAAGGTAATTGAGGAGGAGATGTTTTTATTTGCCTTTTACCTTAAACATTCTTTCGAGTAGGATGAGAAAGAAAGGGCTGAAGGCTTCCTGTTTTTAACAGAAGTTCACTGGATAAGCAAGGTTGATACTACAAAAGTGGAATAAAAATGAAAGAATGTATGTAGACGTGTAGTTGGAGGGTTCTTGTCTGAAGCATTGCCTCCCCTCCATCTGAGAGCTGCCTCCTTGAAGCTGAATGTCAGGCATTTAAAGGGAATCCCAGGGCTTTGTTGTTCAATACTAACGCCTTTTTTGTTTCATTGTTCTCATATTTAAAGCCTTTTAGAACAGTATGTTTACCGTATATTAATGGCCATTAGATATTCAGAGCCCAGGGGAAGAAGCCAGATTTCGAAAAGAGCCTTTTTATCTCTCTAGTATCTCTCTGTGAAGAAACTGTGTTTCTTAAGACTCAGTATCAGATCCATCTTGAGTGTTGTGTTTCATGTGCTGATGGTTTTGAAGCTGAAATGGTTTTCAGGACAGTACAATATTTATTATTAGACCAGACTGTATCTGGGGGACAAGTTTTTAGTCTTCTCAGGCCACCCAGATGTTTCTCTAAAGACTTCTTAAGTTCACAATAAGATGCAATCATATAAAGTGAGAATTTTTCTTCAGTTAATTAAATGGCATGCCTCAATGAAGTGACTTAACAGTCTCAGGAAATATAAATTAAAGCAGGAATATCACAGGAATTCTCTTTTCACATAATTAAATACAGGGAGCAAATTAAATGAATTTTGAAGATCTTGGTTCTGGTTTTCTGAACAAGTTGGAAGCTATGGCCAAGCTGAGGAATTGGTAAATAAGAGAGTTACAAAGTGGTGCTGACCTGGAAAGGAAATAAAGGAAATTAAAAAGATTTACTATGTTTTTAAAGGATTTCTCCCTCAGACTGGGAGAGATTGGGATTGTAAACTAGGAAAACAGAATATACTGTTAAACAGGAAACCGAAATCTCTAAGAATTCCTATGTGGAAGGTGGTGAGATGCTCAATGAAGGTCTATGCATTTTATTTTCAGAAATAAAAATCTTACAATAATTTTGTAGTAGCGGGAAGAATGCTTACCATTGTTGTGGAGAGAAAAATTGTGAAAGTGTAGAGCCAGAGAGAAGCTATAGGATCTTCTAGTTCAACTCTGAACCTCTTTTTTTAGTGTTTTCTGACTTGCTACAGTTTGTCTACCTTTTTCCTAGTATGCTGTTCAAATAGAGCTCTCTACATCAGCTGAAGCCTCAGCTATACTGAACAAAGCAGAAGGTTATCTACTGAGTCTTGCCTGTGACACAGAAATTCATCTTGACGTGACATTTGCTTTTTTGGCATGGTGTTGTTGGCTCAGATTCCATTTTTGATTCACTGTAACTCTTGTTTCCCACTTTTTCTGTGGAAATGCCATGTTGAGATCATTTTGAGAGTAATACTAAGTTGGGATATGTCACATCTTGCTGCTTCTTCTTTGTTTGCTAGGTCAATTAACTTGTCAAAAACAAAGCTAATTAATTTGCTTTGGCAAGACCTCTTCTTGTCAAATCCACATTGGCTGTTTATTATTTTTATTACTGTTTGGATAGTTATTGCTTATTATCTCAGTCTGCTGCTTTTTAGATATTGAAGACACATTTATTTTGCTTCCTTTTCAAAAATGGTTTGGTATCTTTGCCCTTTGCTTATGATGTGAAGATTGCTTCAGATAGTTCTAGTACTAGAAATACATTAATTAAGCCCTATCAATATGAAAACTTAAAAGGAAAATGAGAATAAAAAATACTGACCTGTTTTTGTATCCTCCCCACAATGTTGTTAAATATTTTGTCACAATTTTTCTTTTCTATGCCAACAGAAGCAGTGGAAGATTTGAAGCATTAGCATTATATATAAAGTTGCTTTTCTTCTCCATCAAGTAACAAATGTATCCATTCTTTTAATCATTGTTTTACTACTACACTTGTAAAACCAGTTGTCTCCCCCATGGCTGTTAATTGTAATTCATTTTGCAACTCAGTGTTTCTTATTTTCTGTTTTTCTTTTTTTTCCCCTAAGTGCTTGTGCTATTTCTTAGTTTGTGTCAGAATTGCCAGGTCAGAGTGTAAGTCAGCCCTGCCGAGGTAATCACAGTTAATACACGAGAGACTGTAACCCTTGGCCTGGTTTGCGGACAAGAGAATGATGTGGCTTTTATACTGAGAGAGCTGTCAGCCTGGGAGGTGGGATGCACTCCAAAAGACTGTAAGGGGTCAAGATGCAGCAGTTAGCCCGGTATCTGTGGCAGTGGTGAAGGATTAATACTGAGAGCTAAAAATTACTTGTTTCTGTATTTGTCTCTGCTGGTAGGCTTGATATGAAAGCAATAGGATGAGGAGGACCTCCCTGATTCTTGTGCCTTCCTCCCTCTCAGCACATTTCAGGAGGCAACTGCAATGGTATTCATGAGAAAAACAGCTTCACCTTTGTTACTTAGAAGCAATAGTTTTGATACTTTGAGATCTCCTGAACCAGTAAGCCTGCAGGTGGTCTTTATTCTGAACAGCAGTACTTCTCTCTTAAGACTAACCTGAAAAGAAGAGCATTAAAGTACTCTCAGTTCCCAGGTGAATCTACATACTCATGCTAGCTAGTTCACCTTTTCTCAGTTCTGTTTGTCTTTATTGAGAACGCTCTTCAGTAGAAGCAGTCAATGAAACATGTTCTTATTATAGTATCGATATGCATGTTTTTCATTAGGAATGCTTTTACTTATCCTCTTACCCAAACTGTCAAAAACCAATTTACTTGAGCAATATTAAATTACCGGATTTGAAGTCGCTAGTGACTTTGGAAGTACAGCACAGCTGACCATGTTGGGCTGTAATATCTTTCAGGAAAAATTATACTGTAAGATCCTCAGCCTGTTACTGGCATCTTAGTGATGTTACAGAGCTACTGACACAAAACAAAATAGCAGCAATCAGCTGAGCCAGGGAAAGAACACCTTCTAACTGGGGTGGAAGGATGCATGGCAGTTGCAAACGTACGTACAGAGGCTACTTTCACTAGTGTGCGTAGTCATAGCTGTCTTTTAATAGTGAGATGACATGTCAGCATAGCTTTCCATTCTCTAACTGGAGTTTTTTCAATGGCATGCGAGTTAATAGTGTTGAATAGATGCCTTCTACCCCCCTGGACAGCTTTATGTCTAGCAAGAACGCAAAGACTTTGGCAGGATAAAAATGTTAATGCTGAAGTATTGTTTTTTACCTGTCCTGTTGTGACTTTAGTATTTTAGATAAGTGAAACCATGGAAGTAGGCCAGGCACTATATGGCCACAAAAAACAGATATAAAATTACTAAATTAGTTTAAAAGAGGATTACATTGCCCTTTCCAGGTTACAGCCTAAATCTTTATATTTCCATTTGCCCTGAATAATGCTGCTTGACATTAATGCAGTCTTGTATCAGCTTATGTTCTGGAAGAGAACGAGAGAAAACTCTTGGTTTTGTCATAAATGTCAGTTTCGAAATTAATTGGTCACTGAAGCCGAAGTGTTCAGCGGTACAGTTATCTTTGGTGACTACATGGATGATCATGCTGTAGAAAAACAGACACTGCAAGCTTTGTTCATATTTTTTTAGAGTTAGACAAGAGGAATATTTGCATGACTAATCCAGATTTGTGTATCCAGTAATCTGAATGTTAACATTTCAGCAAGAAACAGCTGGAGAAACTCTTGCTGCATTCCTGGAATGCGTGTTTTTCCAAAACCAGTTGTTAAATTCAAATTCTATTTGTTTCTATCCATTTATCAGTTCGCTGTAGTAAAGTTAGGGAGAAATACATTTTGCTACCGCCTTATACAAAGAAATGAGTTAAGAAGCTCTGCTCTTCTATTTTAAAACCTGCTGCAGTAAGATGTTTCCAGTCTCTCCTGTGGAAGAATACCATATTGTTTCAAAATTATGGGCAAATACTTATGCATAGATGTACTGGAATATTTGATTTGATGTTCCAGCCAAATCTGGTGTATATAAAGCAGATCAAAGTTTCTGCTCTGTTTTTAAAGTGTGGGACTGCTGTGAAAACCGTGTTACTTTCTTCTTTAATCCATCTGGAACAAATGATTCAACCCTGACTTTCTGCTCTCGATCCCTAGTACTGGTCAGGAGGCACCTGGCTACAACTCAGGACAGGTCTGGCCATTACTTTTCAGGAATCCACAGTAATGAAGTGGAATAAAATATACATTTGAATTTATTTTCCCATGAAAGGATTAAAAATAAAGCTGGATGTTAATTTGCCCACAGTGTTATGCTGTTAATTGGGCCTAAGGTACAGATAACACTGCATAAAAGTGACCATTGATTAGTTCTAAATATCAGGCCAGTTTCTGACTTGTTGTTCTGTTGCTGTTTCATTTTGCAAATCTTGAAAAAATATTTCTCAGTGGAGAAGTAGAACCCTCTAAAATTCTAAATATAGTATTTTGCTATATGATATATAGGAACATGCTTTTCTTGATTAGTTTAAATGAGTTTTGTAGGAGATTCCATGGTCTGTGTACAACTGCTTGCAAAATACTGCATTGGACTTTGTTGTGTGGTATCCTGTTGGCTCTAAAATGAGCCGCCTGCTTTTATGGACTAATTAAAAAGTATGTTCAGCTTCGTTACAATGGACTCCAATTAAGCATCCTTTAAAACAGCTGACTTTATACTGTTTTATATCAGTTTCTCCATGGTGCCTTTGAGACATGAGATTCATCCATTGTCATACCTTTCTCAGATTGACCACAAGGCAGAATGATCTGAGGGGGAGTGTGCCTGCACTGAAAGATTTTGATTCTATTGGAAATTCTTTGGCTCCTTCGTGCCTCTACTTTGTAATCTGTAGAATGAAAGCAATGGCACTTACTCAGTGAGCAGGAGTAACATAAAGTTTGGTCTCTTAGTGCTAATGTTTTTATCCAGATAAATATTTACATTCTAGAGACATTATTTTCTCAGATTACTTGGAAGCTGTGCATTCAAATGCTTCTTGGAGATGAGATCACTTGTGTAACTGGACTGTAACTATACTGATCAACCATCTGGATCTCTGTGCCAGTGTTAAATGTCCATTATGTTATTGGAGATTTTTCCCTCATTTTTTTGAGTCAGACATCTATATATAGTTACTTCTATAATAGAACATACCTGATGAAGTAAATTATTCACAGCCCTTTTTTCTTGATGCAGTCATTTTAATTTACATGTGAATGTAAATTAAAAGGTAAAAGGTACTGGCGTAGACAGGTATCACATAAAATAGTTGGAGAACTTCTGATCTATTTATGCTGTACCTTTTAGAGTGTCCATTCTTTGAGAGACTATGAGAAAATTATTTTCATTCTTCATTTTTTTTCCATTGTTTTACCATATTACTACATTTCTTCTTAGGAATTCTTGGTTTCCGTTGAAAAGTTGTTCAATAACAACTCAGACTCATTATTATACTCACTAAATTTTATGTGCAAATGCAGACCTTACTGGAAAGCCCAATCACTGACTGAAGCCTTTTTTGTTTTTCTTATTTAAATGAGCTTGATTTGTTTTCCTATGTATTCACAGGCTCTTAAAATAAGAGAGAGCTGCAATTGCCCATCCCTTTCTGGACCAGATCCTCGCCTCATTTTCAAACTTAACATGCAACATCTCCTGGAATCGTCTAAAGATCAAGAAACCCCAAACTCTACAGAGCGAAATCTCTCAAAACCAAAACTGGATTTTCCTCACACTCAAAAAGTAGAAGATATGCCAGTAACTTTTGCAGTTAAACCTACAAACTAATGATAATAATTTTCACTTTTTATGAAACTTGTGGTCCCTGAAGGTCTGTCTTACAACACAAAATTGTCTTTGAGCCATAAAGAAGATGTAGCCACTCATATTCGATGTTTCTTTTATGTGATCTCTCACTCAAAGCAATAAGGAACCATGCCACACAAGAAGAACAGCGTGTTGGACCAGAAAGTTTCTTATTCATCAAGAGTTACTAAAATAAATCACTTCTCAGGGGAAAGATAATCTCGTACAATCCAGTCACACAGTGTAATTTTCAGCTTTATCAGGCTCACCTTGATCAGAGGACAGATGAGCCAGCAGCGTCCCTAAAGCAGAGGAAAAAGTACAATTTTCATCACTTAAGCTGTCTGGTTTATCTTGCTGTAATTTGGGTTAGATCTATCCAGCTTCATTTGAGAAATAATGAGGAGAGCTTACTGCCTGTTCCACATATAGTATGTTTAAAAATATTAAGCTGAGATGCGGTAATAGCCTATGGGCTAGATACACCCGCACTTAATTAGGTGGATTTACTGCTGGGATTTTTCTTCTTTCTAAGGCATTTTAGAATATGGATTGATTCAACATTTTTCTTCAAAGCAACCTGAAAGGGTTGCACAAAGTTCAGTTTAAAAAAAGACTTAAATAATTTTCAAGGAAGTCTTTCTTGTGAAAAAACCCACACTGTGTAAGAACCACAGTTTGTAGCACTAGAATGCTTTGCAAGGATGGCTGTTGTCTTTTTTTGAATGATCAGGGTGCCTCATCGGAGACAGGTTTTACTGCAGTAACATTTGATTTGGATGTATCCAGTTGGATAGAAGTGATTGCTGATGTGGCAATATATTATGTAGTAGACAAATACAGTAAGGTTTCTTGACTGCATGGCTTTCGCAGCTGTACCTTATCCCAAAAGGTGAATTCTCTTCAGGAAACTGGCATCTAATGTTGAGCATCTCCTCCTCCCCCCAGTCCCCCTGAAGCCACACATTTTATACTGTGTAGACCAGTATGCACAACATAGGTAAAGCTCTGCCTTTCATGATGGACTAGCAGGTATAGCCAGCATGTTAATCTTGATTTGCAACTGTTTGAGTTATCTTTGCTTTGCAATAGATGAAAACACTGCAATGTCGATCTTGCAGGAAGACACAGAAAGAGGCAGTGGTGAATAAAAATAAAAAAAGGGAAAATCCCATTCCTTTATCTCTTAAGATGTACTTGCTGTTAGTTTTTTTACTCGTATTAAAACAAAAATCTTTCAGGTATGGAAGGATTTTACAGTGTATTGTATTTTGAAACACTTTTTTATATATGGAGAGAGGCAGACTTTATCATATTTCTTCAATTAAAGCAGAATGCAAGCTTCTAAAAAGGAAAAAATAACCTATTCAGTGCTGTTGGTGAATATGGTTGAAAAAAAAGATTGTGAAACAAGCAATTCCATTACTGACTTCAGTCAACGAACTAGGTTCCTTTGAGAAACACCAGCAACTATGTAGCTTACCTCTATTCAGAGGTAAGCTGATGTTATCTGTAATGATGATTCTAGGTCTGACCATATAGGTCTAGTTGGCTGCTTATTGCTTACAAGCTGTTTATAAATCTCTGCTCAGTACTCCTGGCAAGAGGCAGAATGTCCAGCCTGACCATTATTCATCCATCCATTTTTATTCTTAGTGACAGGAGTTTTTGTAACAGACGTTCAGTGATGCGTTGAAGCATTTGGACATTGTCACCTGAAGGTAAACAGAAAAATACACCGCATAGATTTCCCTGTGGACCTTATAGTTTATACTGCAACACCAAGACCCCAGTGCTGCTGCCTCTCTCTCACTCCAGTGTCAAAGCTTGTTTTGTTATCCAGGGCTCCTGGTTGATGTGCAACTTGATGCTTGTGTCTATTAGGACTAAGGAGAACATAGAAGAGTTTTTTATAGCATTCAAGATGGAGTATGAAATTACACAAGTTCCATATTTCTGCTGTCTGTTTTAAGTGGCCTACATATTGCGGTGGAATATTGGAGATACAATTTTTAAGTTCACCAAGGGAGATTTTTAAAAATTTCTATGTAAATGGTCTTGTAGCCATGATCATGATGATGTGAGAGAAAAGGTTTCAAGGGAGAGGTAATAGTTTATATTAGGCCGATTAAGGGCTTATGCACTTTTTCCAACTATAGTGGTCTAATAAAACATAACTCTCTCCTTACAAACCTTACATATACATATACATGCACATACATATGTGTGCGTATACCTAAAATACACAAACACACACAAGAGTTAGGCCTCTACAGTAAAACACTACAGTTTTAAAGTCCAAAATGGGACGTTAAAAATTTCAGTTTCTACTTTACATCTTGAATTATCCCTAATGTTTTGCTCAGGTGCTTTGGGAGAGGTTTCTTCTTTCTGCTTATCTTGACTGTCCAACACAGAAAATGCCTTGTGTTCATCTGCCCCTTGGAGGGCACTTTGTCCTTAACTTGTTACCAAATACTATACATTACATTTGGCTATATTGTTGAAGTATTTTCTTTTTTCTTTCTTGAACAGAAAAATTGCAATTATGTTGCTTTCCAAAGGTTTGACAAGTCATAGTAAAAACTGCACTTTTAAAATTAAAGCACATGTAGTATTTTAAGTTGGGGATGTGTATATAATAGTACATTATACATAATGTATTATTATATAGAATGTAATAATAAACTAATTTATTAATATATTGTTAATATTCATACTTTCAAAATATATCCCTTAGGAAAATAATATGGTCCCAGGCTTTTCATTGCAGAAACTATCACTGTACAAACTTTCATTGCAGTTGTGTAACTTAGTATGTCACATGAAAAATAGATCTGGAACGGTTGTTGAAGGAATTCAGTACTTGGAAAGGTGCATGTCATACAACAGGGAGAACAGTGGCTGAAGTGAAAAAAGGTAAGATAGATCAGTAAAAACATACCTGCATTTCTATCACCAATACTGGATGCTGTAGTTCCCAGCTTCCTGTTGGAAGACTAAATATATAGTACAAATGTCACTAAATCTCTTAATTCATTTCCTGTGGTGGGAGTGTTGAGAGGTTTGATAAGCAGGGGATGTGCATTCAAGGCAGTCCTGTAAGAAAAATGGCTCCTTAGAACTTTCAGTTTGTCATGTTTATTCTTTTCTTTTTTCTTTTTCTTTTTTTTTTTTTTTTTTTACTTGAAATACATAAGTGCCAGGAAAGCAAAGCAAACAGCTGTTAGAATGCTTTTTGTTCTTGAATTGTTTGTAGACATTAAAAGAGAACAATCCTGCCAGCGTGATGCTTTTTTTGTATATTATGTAGGCTGCCATAGCTTTTTTTTTTTTCAGTGTGGTGTTTGTATGTCAATACCCCTGGTTGAAAAACTATTTCCAGTATAATAGCCTGTTGTAAGCTATTTTACTGTCATCAGAATTCTCTCTGCTGAAAGACCTTGACATCTTTCCACATCTTGGGAGCTTTTGAAAGGAGAGCAAGATGATCACAAAGTGTAGTTGGTAGTAGAAGGAGCAGAATAAGACTTTTCTGTCAGCAGTACACTGCAGCTTCTTTAGGTTTCCAATCCATATTGCAGAGAGTGGTTTAGTCACCCTCAGTAAGGACTGATATTAATAACTTGCATTTCTAGATCACTTGAAACACCTCATAAATACTAATTAAGTTTTTCCATAATACCTGCATAGGTGACCTTTCTAATAGTTTTATTGGAGATACCGAAGCTCAGTAAAATAGTGACTTTAACAAAGCTTCTCATAAGATCTGAGGCTGGAACTTCGGTGTTCTGAACCATTTCTTAGCTAACTGTGACACACTGCATGTGGCTGTGTGTCTAAACCCGGAGTCTTCATAGCAAACTGAAGTGATAGACTTTGGGTGATTGTTAAATTTATATGGTTTGTCACCTTTTGATGTGTCCCTGGAGAGGTTGGATGTACCTGTTTATGCACACGTGAGTAAGATACACTTACTTGTTCTTCATGTAGTTATTTCTTAACTACTTCCTCTTATGCGTAAACTGATTATTGTTTGTTTACTGCCCATCACCACTGAGGAGCTGATGCCTAAATCTGTTGACATGGTGGTTACTTAATCTCAAAAAAAGATTAATCTCAAATTTGTGGTTCCACCACAAAATCAGGGTTTGTTGTGTATTTCCTGTCACATTAGCCGTAAGATAACACGGCATAAAAGTGTATTACAGTTCTCCCTTTCCTGTGCCCCTGCCCCATCTTTTTCTTGTGCTGCAGGCATCTCTGCTAGCGGCCACAAGGGTTGCTGAGAGGAATCGGGATTAGCGGCATGGACTCTTAGCCAAGTCAGATAAGAGTTGAATGTTCTGCCTGTGAGAACTTTATTGCTGGGGTTGGCAATTGTTGGCAGATCTGTAAAGAGAACTGACTGAGTGTCTCCAGTGTCCCTCATCGCTGCCTACACATATTGCAGCCATCCAGTAAATGTGCTGTTCGATCTCGGGGAGCCTAAGACTCGGTCCCAAATACAGGCCTAGCATAGCATTCCTGGCTGTGCTGGTTAAAGGCTGCAGTTCTTGGTAAGAGCCAGGGGTTCTTACCCTGATTTATGAATGGATGCAGAGACTTGTTATCTCCAGCACATAAATTCATTATAACTATTAAACTAAGCTGAAATTGAACCTGTTGACCTGGAAGTGAATGGCTCCATAACATTTCATTAATCCTTTGAGATGTTTAATTCCTGCTAATTTGATATTTCAGATACGATCTTCTCTACAGATACAATGGCTTAATTAGTATACATTACATGATGTCTCTTCACACTACAGCGTGTACAGTATTTATCCACCAGAAAAGTAATTCAGTAGAGCTCAATTATAATACATTGACTAGAGCATAGAAGTTGGAAAAGGATATGTGCAGCAGTCGTTATATTTTAAACATAAACATTTTTCAAGCAGTCTTCTGTTTGTTGATATCTATCACCCTCTAAAAATGGTGTTCCTAAACCTTTTGTTACAGCTTACTGAAATATTTCAATTTAAAATGGGATTATGACAATAGTGGATTAATTAGCAAATCATAACCAACATTTGGAGGGACAATGACAGAAACCTAATATGTGACTTAGTCACTTGTATAGTATCCTTAATACAGTCTTTCATATTGTTGGAGACCAGCAAACCATACATGCAAATACCAGTTTGGAGAATAACTTTCTATTTGATATGGTTGTCTTTGCTATCTTAATTTCATAAAAACACTTCTGGCAGACAGCACTTCTTGGTGATAGATACCAAAGTCTGTGCTAAGCAAATGTATTCTGTAGCATTCAGCTTGCACATCTTTTAGCTGAAGACACCTGTTTCAGAGCACACAGCTTCGTGTAACCATTCAGGACAGTGGTTCCAGTTGGAACTGCAGGGAACAGGCAAATAGAAAGGTAGTAAGTCTTTGGAATCTGGTTATTTTGCTGCTGCCTTCCTGGGAAAAGTCAGTGGGGGCACAGGTACGAAGAAATGCTGATAGCTCGTCTTAGAAACAGTTCATTTAACAAGTGGAAGTAAAAATTTTGCTTGTGGGATGTGCTGTATGATCTGACCTGCCTACTTTTTCCTTCAGCTTTCACTGGCAGGTAGAATTTAATGGGAAAGATGTGTTTGTTACAACTGTACTGGGACATATTGTGGACAGCCTCGTGGTCATTCTATCTTTTGTTTGTAACGGCAAGTACAAAGACTTTTCCAAAGTGAGTTCCATCAAAATGATACAAGTTGTTCTTTTTCCGGCTCATGAGTGATGTCGTGGTCATTTTCTCAGGTTCTTATCATGCCTTTTCTGCACAATCAAGTGCCACAGAAGTAGGGTGAGCAAACCAACATTTCACCACCAGGTCAGTGTGAGAAAAAGGTGTAAGGTGATCCATGCATAGGCAACAGAAGCTACTGAAAAGTGCTAAATGGGCTGAAAACTTGATAAACCTTATAGGAAGTTCTTTTTTTGCAGGTTTTGTTGCAGGTTCTTTATACTCTCAGATACCACTTTTGACTTTCTCAAATGGCTGTTGTGGTCAACCCAAGGGGCCACAAAAGATGCAAGAATCTGTTGGAAAAGTTATTTTTTAACTCCATCACTGCCAAATTTCTAGGATTGCATAGAGGATTGGGTATTTGACCCAATTGTCAAATAAAATATTTTCCTCAAACTC